CTTCACTCACAATGTATTGTTCAAGGCCAAGGCTCTTCCAAGCCCACCAACTTTAATAGATTGAGGTGTGTACCTGGCAGCCCAGGTGTTGTATTACAATGTGTTCACAGTTCCAAAGAAGACCGTGTTCAGAAAATTTTGTATCTAAAGGCCCTGAACTTTTTTTTTTTTTTTAAAAGCACGCATGTTTCGAAAAAGTCATTGCACTCATTGGTAGCTTCCCTACACCAGGAGATCTTCTGGATTTAATTGACATCAATCTCCACATCACTATTTGATACATCCACCAACAGTTGCTCCGGTTTGTGGTGGGGAACTTCATTACCAGCTTTGCTGCCCTTCCCTTTGAAGACTTGCAGTACCGATGTCAGTCCAAAGTGCTGGCACTGGTTTTGGCTCTACTGCGCCTTCTCAATTGTGGGCTGTGTGGACGACCTGCTTCTGTGAGTGGAGTCTGCATCAGATCTAAAACGTGATCTTTCCATCACGATCAATTTGCTGGAAGACTTAAGATGGATGTTGGAATCTTCTGAAGTCAGTTAGTCAGTCCTTCCCTTCCTCAGAGTACTTAGAACTTATTCTGGACACTATGGTGCCAGAGTTTGTCCTTCCACAGGAGGAACTTAAGAAGTTGAGTCCTCATGTCCTTCATCTATCTTCTCTACTGACTGTCTCTATTTTTTGCTACTGCTCCAGAGGGCACAGGGACTTGCCAGGCTTTCACTTCCAGGCTCCATCTTGCATTGCTCCAGCTCTCCCTGCTGTCCAGCCAGAGTTCACACCGACTTTGCCAGGCTTGTACTACAGGCTCCACTTAAACACCTCTTCAGCGCTCCGTGCTGTCCAGCCGGAATTCCTATTCACTGGTCCAGATTACCACTATGAGGCGGTGTGCATTGTTAACCCCTTATGAGCCTACTTATTACCATCTACATGTGAGTGGTTTTATTTATGTTCACCATTAAATACTTTTCACAGTCTACACTCAGAGGTGCGGTGTTTCTCTTCTTGTCCACTCCAGAGTCATTGCTTCATTCTACCACAGCTCGCCGGGTGTCTCCAGACCATCTGTTCCTCTGCCATATCCCGACCCCATACTTAGCCTAGAGGCTATGCGGACTGCATATTCTATGCGCCTGTCATTCCCTTGTCTCTATTTTTTGCATGAGGGTTTCATGTTTGCTTCCCTCAAAGCAGTTGTCTACGTACAACACCATTCCAGACCCATAAGCAGTTGCCTACGTACAACATCATATTGCACTGAGCTCCCCTGTTACTGTGCATCTGCGCTGAGTGCCTCCTGGGAATTTTATTCTGTTTCTGTTGAGGTTTGCTAGGCAGCTACCTCAGTGTTTGCTCCCCCTTTATCACAGTTCTACATAGTTGACATGTCTACCTCAGAAGATGCCTGTTTGGTCGAAAAGATTTGTAGGCAGCAGTTTCAGGTCTGCTGAGGTGCGATTCCTTGTTTTTACATTTATGGGCCCACCCATTCTTTCTCTTCCAAACCCTAATTGGCTGCCCCCAGCTTCAGCAGCACCAGTTTTCCCCCCTTTCACAGCCTAGTCCGTGGTTCAGGTAGTAAAAGCCAACTTAACAACACGCCCTGAGTTTTTCTTAGCTGTTTTTCACTGAAGACCTCTACAATTTGATTGTGGCCCAAAGTTACATTTATGCTCAACAGTACATCACTGCCAACCCAAATTCTTGCCAGGCCATTCGAGTGGAATCCTATCACTGTTTCCAAATGTAACATTTGTTTGGGCCTAACCCCTAACATGGACATTACAAAAATTAATTGTGGTCATATTGGTCCACATACCTGTGTTCTCTGCTGTAATGGCCAGGAGAAGATGTGAGACTATGCATTTCAGTAACAATACCCTCAACCATTTCTGCGGTGACCCTGACTATGATCAGCTTCACAAAATTCTGTCCCTCATACACTACCTCACCCAGTAATTTGTTGCTGTGTTTTTTTACACAATTTGTCACTTTACTGAGATTTCTCACATATCATGGGTGTACTTTGCATTACACCCCAAAATACATTGTGCTAGTTCTCCTGAGTATAGGGATATCACCTATGTGAGACTTTTTGGCAGCCTAGCCACGTTCAGGGGCCCTAAAACCAATGAGCACCTTCAGGCTTTCGAAGTGCATAACATTCACATATTTCTGACTATCACAATTTCAGAGGCATTGAAATGCCAGCATAGTACAAACATCCCCCAGATTACTCATTTTTGGAAAGTAGACACTACAAGGTGTTTGGTAAGAGGCATGGTGTGTATTTTTCAGATCTAATTTTTTTCACAAGGTTTTGAAAAATGAAAGAAAATAAAAAATAAATTTTCTTTTTTCAAAAACTTGTGGCAACAAATGAGATCTGCAGAATATTTGCCATGCCTCTTGGCAAATACCTTGGAGTGTCTACTTTCCAAAAATAGATCATTTGTGTGCGGTGGTGGGGGGGGGGGGGGGGCGGGCAATTGTACTATCTTGGCATTCAGGGCCTCCAAAACTGTGATGGGTAGTCAGGAAATCAAATGAAGAAGTTGTGCTCTTTGAAAGTCTGACGGTGTTCATTGGCTTTGAGCCCCCATACGAGGCTAGGCTGCCAAAAAATCTCACATGTGGTATCCCCATACACAGGAGTAGCAGAATCTGCTTTGGGGTGTAATGCCAAGTATACCCATGATGTGTGTGAGAAGTATCTCAGTAAAGTGGCAAAAAGGGGTCATTTGGGGGTTGTTTGAACTGTCCTGGCATTTTAGCACCTCAAGAAATGTGATCGGCAGTCAGAAAGTAAAAGCTGTGTAATTCCAATATACAGTCAGGTCCATAAATATTGGGACATGAACACAATTCTAACATTTTTGGCTCTATACACCACCACAATGGATTTGACATGAAATGAACAAGATGTGCTTTAACTGCAGACTGTCCGCTTTAATTTGAGGGTCTTTACATCCACATCAGGTGAACGGTTTAGGAATTACAACAGTTTGCATATGTGCCTCCCACTTGTTAAGGGACCAAAAGTAATGGTACAATTGGATTCTCAGCTGTTCCATGGCCAGGTGTGTGTTATTCCCTCATTATCCCAATTACAATGAGCAGATAAAAGGTCCAGAGTTCATTTCACGTGCGCTATTTGCATTTGGAATCTGTTGCTGTCAGCTCTCAAGATGAGATCCAAAGAGCTGTCACTATCAGTGAAGCAAGCCATCATTAGGCTAAAAAAACAAAACAAACTCATCAGAGAGATAGCAAAAACATTAGGCGTGGCCAAAACAACTGTTTGGAACATTCTTAAAAAGAAGGAACGCATCGGTGAGCTCAGCAACACCAAAAGACCCGGAAGACCACGGAAAACAACTGTGGCGGATGACCGAAGAATTCTTTCCATGGTGAAGAAAACACCCTTCACAACAGTTGGCCAGATCAAGAACACTCTCCAGAAAGTAGGTGTATGTGTGTCAAAGTCAACAATCAAGAGAAGACTTCACCAGAGTGAATACAGAGGGTTCACCACAAGATGTAAACCATTGGTGAGCCTCAAAAACAGGAAGGCCAGATTAGAGTTTGCCAAACGACATGTAAAAAAGCCTTCACAGTTCTGGAACAACATCCTATGGCCAGATGAGACCATGATCAACTTGTACCAGAGTGATGGGAAGAGAAGAGTATGGAGAAGGAAAGGAACTGCTCATGATCCTAAGCATACCACCTCCTCAGTGAAGCATGGTGGTGGTAGTATCATGGCGTGGGCATGTATGGCTGCCAATGGAACTGGTTCTCTTGTATTTATTGATGATGTGACTGCTGACAAAAGCAGCAGGATGAATTCTGAAGTGTTTCGGGCAATATTATCTGCTCATATTCAGCCAAATGCTTCAGAACTCATTGGACGCCGCTTCACAGTGCAGATGGACAATGATGCAAAGCATACTGCAAAAGCAACCAAAGAGTTTTTTAAGGGAAAGAAGTGGAATGTTATGCAATGGCCAAGCCAATCACCTGACCTGAATCCGATTGAGCATGCATTTCACTTGCTGAAGACAAAACTGAAGGGAAAATGCCCCAAGAACAAGCAGGAACTGAAGACAGTTGCAGTAGAGGCCTGGCAGAGCATCACCAGGGATGAAACCCAGCGTCTGGTGATGTCTATGCGTTCCAGACTTCAGGCTGTAATTGACTGCAAAGGATTTGCAACCAAGTATTAAAAAGTGAAAGTTTGATTTATGATGATTATTCTGTCCCATTACTTTTGGTCCCTTAACAAGTGGGAGGCACATATGCAAACTGTTGTAATTCCTAAACCGTTCACCTGATGTGGATGTAAAGACCCTCAAATTAAAGCTGACAGTCTGCAGTTAAAGCACATCTTGTTCGTTTTATTTCAAATCCATTGTGGTGGTGTATAGAGCCAAAAATGTTAGAATTGTGTCGATGTCCCAATATTTATGGACCTGATTGTATATACACCATACTCTGCAGATGCTATAGCTACAACACAAACCAATTAATATACACTTACTGGGATTTTTTTTTTCGTACCAAAGACATGTAGCAGAAAACATTTGACCTAAATTTTATGAAAAAAACATTTTACTGGATATGTTTTATTACAGTAGAAAATATAGGTTTTGTTTTTATTTTCAAATTTCTTTTTTTTTTTGTTTATACAATAAAAGAAAATAAAAACCCATTGGTGATCAAATACTAACAAAAGAAAGTTCTATTTGTGTGCAAAAAATGATAAATTTAATGTACAGTGTTGCATGACCGATCAATTGCAAATTAAAGTAGCACAGTGCTGAATTGCAAAAAATGCTCTGGTCATGACGGGGGTAAAGTCTTACAGAGGTCAAGTGGTTGTTATATTCCCCTATCCTAACTTGAAGTTTTCAAGTTCCCACATACTAGAAGAGTTTAAAAAATTCTATATTTCTTGCAGGATGATTGTATTAACTGTTTTTTTTTTCTCTAAATAGGTGCGGAAACAGCAGAAGGAGCATACAAATCTAATGACAGAGTACCGGAATAAGCAGCAGCAACAACAACAGAGCTGTGGTGTACTTCCCAGTAGTCCTAACCAGAACTCTCGAGTTCTAACAAAGGCTCCAGGTCAAATCATTGCTGGACATGGTATGCAGCAAGCATCTGCCATGTCACACAACCAGCTTGTTGGACAAGCTGGAGGTCTGCGTGGTCTGCAGACAAATTTAGCCATGCAAGCACAGCATGGAACTTCCTATGTGAAATCTGTATCTCAACAACATCAAGCTCAAGGAAATAACCCAGCGCTTCCTGGAACCTCCAGTGGTTTCTACTCAACTGCTCCAAATCTGCAAGGTCTCACCCCTGAGCAAAGGATGATCCAAGAGCGCCAGCTTCAACAGCAAAGATTACAACTAGCACAGAAGCAGCAGCAGCAGCAACACCAGAATTTCCCACTGTCTCCACAGAATAATTTGTCTCAAGCAATGTTAGCCAAGCAGCATGGACTGATGAGCAATTCACATGGGTTGGTGATACAGCAAAACCCTTCCCAAACGTCACAGACCCTTATAGGTCATCCTCAGGCACCTGCTTTACAACATCACACAGCTCAACAGAGACAGATGTTGATTGCACAGCAACGGGTTTTGGGATCTTCACCAATTGCTCAGCAACAAAATATCGTAGGGCCTCGTCTTGTTTTGTCACAGCCCCAGCAGAACTTAGTTGGCGTGTCTCCTCATATGCAGCAGCAAACAGTGCTAAGCCAAGGAGGTAATACATTATCCCAGCATCCAAATACAGGACAGATACAGCCCACAAACCAAAACCTCCCAGGTCATCCACAAAGTGTTAACACTCAGCAAATTATGAATGCAAAGGATGTACCTATGACTGATGCCTCACTGCTTCAAGAGGGTACACTTGAAACTCAAGGACAGCAACAACAGCGAGCTTCAAGTACAGGCATTCCAGATCCTAGTGAGTCACAAACTCAAGAACAGTTAAGCCAGAATTCTTTGGGATCCCTGAGCCAAGAAACAGATTTGCAGCCTTTGGAGTCATCAGAAGATAGGCAGCAGATAAACCAGTCTTCTGAACAGGAGCAGGCTCTGTTCAATTCAACAAGCCCATTGCAGCAGTCTGTAAGGCAGCAGCAGAATGTTATCCTTTCTCCTCAACAACAAAGCCTTGGGACTCAACTACCAAATCCTCAACAACCTCTCAGTCAGGAGAACACACACATGGCTGCTGTAACATCACAACAAACAAGTGTAATTCAGATGCAAAACGTACTAGGACAAAATCCTGTACAAGGACAGGGAAATGAACAGGCCAAACCTAATGTTGGACAGATCCTCTCTCAACCCTTAGGGCAGCAAAGACCAAATCTAAGTGGCCAACAGGCTCCTTATGCTGCTAATCTGATGGCTTTGCAGAATACCCAGCTCATGGCACAAATAAGGGCTCAGCTTCAGAGTATTATTGCAAAAAATCCCCAGCTGAGACACTTGACACCCCAACAATTGCACCAGTTGCAGGCTATTTTGATTCAGCGACACCAACAGGCTCAGGCCCAAGCTCTTAGACAAGCTGCACAGCAAGATAATATGCAGTCTGTGGCATCACATGCTGTATTATCAAATGGTGCACCTGGTAGTCAGACACCATCTAGAGGTGTTTTCTCAGGTCAACAAGTTGGAACAGTTGGGACAGAACAGTCAAATTATACAGAGGATAGCACTTCTGTAACTGTACAGAAATTGGCAGCAGAAAACACTGCTGAAATGCCACAAGCAAATGAACTTGATCAGAGCTCCTTATTAAAATCTCCAGGTGTTGTAAGACATAGTGTTGGTCAGAACCAGGAATCTGTTGCTGCTCAGCATGCACAGACGACAACAAGCTTGCGTCACTTGACCCAGCAACCTCCACCTCAATATAGAATGCCTCAGCAGGTATCTTCTAATCAGCAGCAGATACCACAATATCCAGTGCAACAGCAAGTACATCCACTTCAACAACAAAATCCAGCTCAGCTGCAGCAGACGCAGCAGGTTCAGTCACTTCAGCAAATACAAGCACAGCCTCAGTCAACGCAAATGCAGCAACACCAATTACAGCAAGCCCAACAAATCCAACATCAGTTGCAACAAGTGCAGCAATCCCAACAATTCAAGCAGCAACAGTTGCAGCAACTTCAGCAAACACAGCTAGTACAGCATCAGATGCCACAAGCTCCACCACAGCGTCAGCAAGTGCAATTGCAGCATTTACAACAAACGCATCAAAATCAGATTACACAAATGCAGCAAACTCAGCAGCAAGTACAGCATCAGGTGCAAGCACAACCACTGCAACAAGTTCAGTCTCCACAGCAAGCACTGCAGCTGCAACAAGCCCAACAGCAGCATCAGCAGTTGAAGCAAACCCAACAACAGCTTCAACAATTTCAGCAAAGTCATCAGCAGACTCAATCATCCATACAAACACCGCAACAAATTCAGCCATCACAGCAGGCACAACAAATCCAACCAGTGTCACAATCTCAGCAAATACAACAGATGATCCAAACACAGCAGCAGCCACAACAAACATCACAACAAATTCAACAGCAGATTCAGCAGCTACAGCATCAACTGCAGCAAATTCAACAATTGCAAACACAACAACTTCAGCAGTTGCAGCAAGCGCAACAGACACAACCATTGCAACAGTCACAGCTTCAGCAGCTGCAACAAGCACATCAGCAACTCCAGCAATTACAGCAGCAACAACAGCAGCAACTTCAACAGTTGCAGCAAGTTCAACAGCAGCAAAAGCTTCAGCAATTGCAGCAGGCTCAACAACAGCTGCAGCAGCTCCAGCAATTGCAGCAAACACAGCAGCAGCAACCATTGCAACCAACACAGCAACTTCAACAACAGCAAATTCAACAGTTACAGCAAAACCCACAACAATTGCAACTGTTACAGCAACAACTCTTGCAACAAGCACAGCAGCAACAGCAAATACAACTTCAACAAAAACAGCAACAGGTACAACTTGCTCAGCAAACGCAACAGGTTTTAGATACACAACAGTTGCAGCAAATGCAGCAATTACAGCAAACACAACAGCAGCATCATATGCAGATGATCCAAACACAGCAACAAATGTTGCAACAGTCACCACTGCAGCAGGTTAAGCAACATCTATTGCCACATTTGCAACAAACTGCATCTCCAGCTCAGCAACATTTGCAAGGGCAACATAAAACACAGTTGGAAGCAGCTACACTGCAGAGTGAGGGGCAGCAGGAATTACCTCAGTTGCCACATGTACTTCAGGTTCCATTGTCACAGCAAGCAGAAAACAAGCAGCAGGATGTGCAGCATCCACAGACAGATATTGCACAGCAAGCTGATCAAATGCTTCAATCGCAAAGCAAAGAACCAACTCAACCAGTGGAACAAAATCTGGTGCTGCATTTGCCGCAAAGTGAAACGCAGCAAAATCCGCAATTACAGGGACAACATCAGTCACTGTCCTCTTTCCCAGGGTTACCGCAACAGATTACTGGTCAGCAACAGCATTTGCAACATGTCCAGCATGCACAGCAGCAAATACATCAGGCATCTCATTTGCAGCAGAATTCACAGAGTCAAGCAGTGCCACAACTGCAGCAGCAGCCACAGGCTCAGTTGACTGCAGTGTTGCCACAGTTTCAGCACCAGGTGCCACAACAGCAGCATGTTCAGTCTCCGCAGTTGCAGACACCAAGCAAAAAACACACAGATACAACTGCAACAACTTCAGAATATAAAAGTACAACAGCAGCTCATACAACAAGCAGGGACACAGAACCCACAACCGATTCAACAAATGGGACAAGCACAAAGTCAAATGCAGCAGTTACAATTGAAACAGCAAGTTCATCATAAACAAGCTATGCAATTGCAGCTGCAGCAGGCACAGCTACAGTTAACTCAGCAGCAGTCTCATGATGTAAAAAGTCAGTTGCAGCAAACTGTAGTTCAGGTTCAACAGATACAACAAACACAGCCACAACAGTCTTCTCAAGGTCAGCCCCATAATGTTCAACAGTTGAAACAAATGCAACAACAGAAGTTACAGCAGATTCAGCAAGTGCAACACATCCTGCAGCTTAAACAGCAGATGCTGAATCAACCACCCCAGAGACAGCTTCAATTACAGCAGCAGCTCCAAATGCATTTACAGCAGCTACGTCAGCAGCAAGCACAGTTACAACTTGAGAGTTTACAGGAGCCAAAGAAAGAGCCTTCTGATCTCCTTGCTCAGTGTTCAGGAAGCATAACGCCTCACAGCCAGAGAGTCACAGCAGTTCCCCAGACCAACATATTCAGACTTCTCAGCCTTGCACTGACTTGCCCGAAGCAGCATCCAGCCAAAGCCAAAATTCAGAATCTCCACTCTCTAGTACACCAACTGCTATTCAAGTTGAAACAGCAGTTCAGGTCACTGATGCACCAGATATTAAATCAACAGAGGTGACTGACTCTGACACTGCTACCAAGGAATCCAAAGGTACTGGATCTCCCAAGGAGGTTCTTGGCCAGTCTGGCCCCGATGACACTGGGGACATGCCAGTAAAGACAACATCTCAGGAAGAAAGTATGGAAACAGAAGATCAGACCAAGCAAGAAATTGTTACAAATCCTCCACAAGAAAATGGTGAAAGGACGCAGCCACCTAAGCCTCCTAAAGAAGAGTATGTGGAGGAAGGTGTGTCTGGGAGTCAGGACTTAAAATGTGAAACAAATTGTGACCCAGCATCTGTTGGAGCCAAAGGAGAGGCTGGACATCTCTTACTGCAGAAACTGCTGCGTGCTAAGACTGTGCAGCTTGCTTCACAGCGCTCCGCAGAAGGCATTCATACAGACATCAATGGACACATAGACAGCAAATTGACAGTTTTGGAGCAGAAGTTACAAGCGACGCCTCGTAATAAAGACGTAAGTTGACCATTATTTAAAGTGTATTTTAAAAGTTATCAAAGCACTCTTGCTGTGTGCTTGCTCTCTCTCTGCATTTGACATGAATGGGAGAACCCATCCATGAATGATAACACAAGAGATGCGTACATGCTTGGTACAACGCTGGCAAAAGTAGTGTATTTTGTCGCAAATCTCCTCTCAAGCCAAGTGTTTCTTTTTTACTGGAGCAGTTCTACTTCATAATAAATATATATATATATATATACACATACACAGCAAAACAGAAGTGTAGGTGAAAAACAAAAAGGTGCTGTTTATTTACACTATTTACAAGAAAAACATCAAACCAAAAAGAAACCTGAAATTAAATCCTTGCCAACTTGGCCACTTACTATACAATAACTTCCCTAGCTATCCACTAGGTACAGCCTTATGCTACACCGAGTCCCTATCAGTTGGAGGCTAGCCACACAGGCCTTTGTCTCACCACACAGATAAGTATGTTGCTCCCCAGCCTACTCAGGCACAGATCTAGTTCCAGGATGGAGCAACTCCCTAAGCAGGCTGGGAAGTTTTATAGAGGCCCTAATGAGCTCACTACCTTCAGCTGGGCTCATTACCTCACTGCTGAAGCCTCAGCAGTTCCCCCTTGTGGAACAAAAAAGGAGCCTAAATCTTGGATAGTGAAGCTATTTTCCTGCCACACACACACACCATACACTATGTATATACTGGTGAAGCTATTTTCATGCCTGTATTGTATATAGTTAATAGTATAGGCAGAAGGTACGTTTAATGGTATTGACATTACGTCGGGCGGACAAGCTGCACAGAAAGTAATAGACAAAGTATGAACAAGGACAAGAAAGAAAAGAAGATTCTAAGATGGAAAGAAAACCATGGACCAGGCAGTTGGTGATAGGGTGTAGGGGAAGGAAACAGTCCCAGGTGCCCAGAGAGAGGATTTATGTGTTTTTTTTTTTTTTTTTTTTTTGTTTGTTTTTAAGGACCCTTGTGCAAAAAAAGCTGCTGTACCAAAGCCAAAAAGGACACAGAAGACTAATGAAAAAGTACCAAATTCTCGTAAAAAGATAAGGAGAGAAGACAGCTTAAAATCACCAGATGCTATTGTGAAGCAGCTGAAACAGGTAAATGTGGTATTGCCTTGCAGCCAGATTTTATCCATTGTATATGAACATTTTATACTTCATACTCAGCGAAGCCCTGCAGATAGCATGATCGCTATCCTGGTATCATGTACAATCCCTTGTTTTGCAATACAATATAGGAATACCTATCGCATAGAAACTTTCCGTTTAAACTTGTGGCCCTTTGCAATGTGAAGAATTAAAGAAGGATTGGAGACTTGCAAACAAAAAACTGAGACCAGACCAGAATTAACCCCTCCTTCTACCTTCATGCTTAGGTTTATCGCTGGTGTCCTATGAGGACAGATGTCTCTTCAGCTTTTCTGTGTCAAAGCGTAACTTCTTTTTCTTTATTGTACAGTACAGGATACAGTCTGTCACTCATAACAGATGGGTTATATGCTGCACCTTAAAGTAAGTGGACATTGCCAAAGCCACTTAAGCTTTAACACTCCCACATAGAACACCTTTCACCATGTGATCCTCAGTTTTTTGCTAGTGTCCCTAGGTGATGGATCTGGGAGAGAACATAGTTCTAGGTATGAGCAGTGATCTCTTCCATCAAGACAAATTACACACTGTGCACCACACCAGGCCACTGGAGTTGAGGGTGTTTATTTTCTGGATAAGTGCCCTATGTCTTTGCGCTGCAAGGATTGCACCTTGGAACCCATGCACAAATGGGAAAGGGGCTGGCCTGTAATGATGTGACAGGCATTGTTCCTGGATTTCTAATACAGCATTTTAGTCTCCTCCAGCTGCTATACAGCTCCAAAGCTGAGATCCAACTGTGGGGCAACCCAGTCCTTGAAGGGTCAGTGCAAATATCACCTGAATCTGGTTATACTTTCAGCAGATTGGGCACCATGCAGAAAGTCTCCAATTCTGATGGCTGTAAGCTGCAACGGAGCACTCCAAACACAGGGGGAGGTTAAAAGTAATTTTACTGAGAAATGGCCACTCTCTGCGGTCCCAAGCAGCATTGATCTGTTACTTGCTGGGGATCAGTGAAGATGTCTGCCGTGATCAGAGAATCAGGCTCCCCCTGTCCTCAGAATCGGAGGCAACGTGGTCTGAGTTTCTGCGCTTTTCCTATTTATGTTTCCACCCATAAGAAACTTACAATTTTCAAAAAATTATTTAAAAAAGCTAGGGCTTACAGTTTTTTGACCAGTCAAAAGACTCTGAATTAGAAGAGTGAGAGGAAACCAAACATGGAAGTGGACACTGTAATAAGTGGGGCTCTTCTGTTGAATCATATTTGTTTGTAGAAGGAGGTCCATCTGTCGCGGTGTCAACAAAATTGAAAGATACCATTTTAGTGCTTATAGAAGAGGTATGCATATGTCTACGTTTGACTCTACTGTGCCCAAAGGCCCAAAAGTTAGCAGCATGGTTTCCAGGAAACAAAAAACTCCTAATGTGTTTCCTGTTCATGCCTGTAATGCCTTTGAAATGCGTTAGCCTTGGACCCTTTCTTTCTTGGGTAATTTTTAAAAAGAAGCATTTTTGCTCGCCCAGATGCCAGGAGCATGAGACATTGATGTAATTTCTCTAGGCCCAAGGAACAGAGTCACAAGATATTAGACTGCTTAAAGCAAATAAGGAGTGTTTGTTTGGTAGATCATGTTTGTGGCATCTAATGTTACATTAGACTGCTTAAATTTGATAAGAACTTGTTTGTGCAATTAAAGATGTCTACTTGTTTGAGAAGTTAGAAAACTTTAAGTTTAGGGTAGATAAGTGTAATATTCTTAGATAAATGTTTGTTAGGTGTAGTGGCTGGGCGTGACTCTTGTTATCCTTGTGGAACCTTTCTGCTAGCTCCTCCTAGAGTGGGTGTGGCGCCTGCCCAATTCAGGAAAGCTGCCAGAAAAAGGGTTTAAAACAGGGAGCTTAAGAGGAGGGATCAATGGGGAGCAGCCTTCCTATGCAGACGAGGATGCTCTGACGCTGGGACTTTTGCCAAGGCTATATGGGCTCATCGATTGGTCACGTTTACGGCTTCCCCTCGACCCCCTGTGCATTATGGCTCCAATGAGGTCTGTTCCTTCCCGTCTTCCCATAGCTTTGGTAATGTATTCTATGCTGTGACGCTGTCAAAAGATGTGTCTATTTCATGCTCTAATGCTCACATTATTATTGGTGTGTGTTGTTATGCAGATTGTGATGACTATAAGATATATCCTCCTGTGTGTCGTGTGATAAAAGTGGAGGTTTTGACAATGAAAGAATATTGCAGTTGGATTCTGTTATTTCTTGGAGTGCCGAGTGAATGCTATGATGTGCTAGGCAGGTGTTCAACCGCTAGTGGGTCTTTCACATGCTTAGAATAATTAATGGTGTAAATGCTGGTTCAACGTACCTGTGTGTGTGACTACCTGTCTATTGTGTGTGTGTGTGTGTGTGTGTGTGTATGTGTATGACTTTCTTTTAGTTATTGTATCCAGCATTGCTTTACAATGCCCATAGTGAAGATATATTGGGTTGTTCCCTAGGTAGGCACAGCTATCTTTTTCATAAGTATGACTCTTCTGGTCCTGGTTAAGGACTTGCCTACTTTTAGGGATCCTATGGATAAGCACTTTAAGGCTATGCTCAAGGTTTCTTTTTCCCCATCCGGACTGACTGCACAACCAAATGTAGTTACTAGTACAACGGCGGCATGAAGTTGAAATGAACTGGCCACGCACTGATGCGATTACTGATGTAAATCAGCTTTAATATAACAAATAGAGGATTCAAAACCTGTAGTTTTGCCTGTTCAGTTCCCCCTCCAATGTGTTTCATGGAGATTAAGCCCTTTGTGGTGGTAAATGCTTTATATCGGGATGTGGACAAGCAAGACTTTTATGTCGTGAATCCATTTTATTAAAGCTGGTTTTACATTGGAGACAGCATCAGAATGCAGCCTGTCGTTTCTACTTGACAAAGATAACCGCTGAGCAGGAAAGCGCTCCTGGGCCTGCACCTGATGAGAGCTTGAGATATAGGGAAGGAGGCATGTTCAGAGCAGCATAGCTACCGATGATTTTACATGCTATGGTGGTACACTTAGGGTCTGGTCATTGGGTGGCAATGTACCTAGTGGCATTAGCCCCTCCTTCCAGCATAAATTGGATCGGTTTACAGGCAGCCCTGCACTATTGCATGAACAGGATAAGCAATGTGCTTTGTTGGGTATCCTGTATTTTGCCTCTGTACAGATGTGGATATTTCTTTGGCTGAAATGCTGGACAACTGAACCTAGCTCTAAGAAAAGATGGGAAAGGATGCGATTTTTTTTTTTTTTTTTTTTTTTTTTTTTTTTTAGGTGAATGCTTTTTTGTGGAGTATTTGAGTGTCTCCATCAAGAAGTTAGGAAAAGCACTCTTGCCCACTAAGAGGGTTTCTCAGTATGCCTTGTCTTTGACTTTTGTTCTCTCCAGGCATCTACATTCAGGGCCAAACCAGGCAATTCCTTTCACCACCCGTTTTTTATTTATTTTTTTTTACATTGTGACAGATAGCGGGGGATCTTCTCTCCCCTGCTAGCTGTCACAATTGGGGAATGGGGCTGGTCCATTGTGCCATGTTACGAAAGGTGTACTTATCCTTTAAGTCTTAACTTGGAGTTTGTGGGTTTAGGCTTCCAAGCATCTGTCTGACAGCTCCTTTTTCTGTCCCCGTCAACTGGTAACCTTCTTTGGATTTGTCTTCCACTTGGGTACAGGATAGCCAGGAGACCGGTGTTCGCATTACCTCCAAAGGTTTTTGTTTTCCCTTGAAGCATTTTTTATTTTCCTGCCATGTTCTGCCAGCTGACGCAACATTTTGCCAGTAATCCCCTTGGGGATTGTGGGTTGGGGGTCAGGTATGACCTCCTATGGCGTGTCTACACGAGAACCTAATCTCACTGAAATATCCTCCCCTTCCTCCTGCTCCAAGCAAGGCTGTCTTTTAACGGAGGGCAAAAGGGGGAGCTGCCCCAGGCCCAGTCGTTGTGGGACCCAAAGCAGTTGCCCCTTCAGCCCCTGCTGCCAGCAGACAAGGAGACAGACAGGCACAGTGCAGAGGTGTGGTCACAGGTTGCTGCTGTAGCATGGGTGAGCAGAGCAGGGCATTGTGGAAAGCAAATACATGGTCAGTGTTTCTGGTGCGCAGTACTGGTGGTAGCGAGAGGCTCCAGACATCCAAAGTAGCAAACAGGTGCAGGGAATTCTGGGACTTCACTAGGCTCCAGCAACAATTTCTGCCTCTGCCCAAGTGGTTGGTTCCAGACAGGAGGAGTCGAGTGGGTTGTTTTCTGCTTCCCTGGTGGGGTGTCTTATCCATCTGTCACCTGGACTTTCCCTCGATTCCAGCATTGGGTAAGCAGGTATTCCCGGTCGCTCCCTCGAGGGTATGTGTGGCTCACTACATGAGAACCTTCTTCTGTCAGCCCTAGCTCCCCTCCACCTCTCCGGCCAAGAGGCAGCTGTGTGACTTTAAACCATCCAGGACATTCTCGCTCAGTTTCAGATGGCTGGCTGTTTGTTCCCTGGAAGGATACATTGAGGTTATTTGGTTTTTTAAGGATACAGTGTTTTACAATAAAAGCTACTTTTAACCAATGCACTCCATCTGTCGCTGATATCCTGCAAGCTAGGGTAGAGCTGTTACACAGGTTAGCTATCTGATGGATTGGCTGCAGATCATGCCCGGCAGTTTTCAGCTGATGGTCTGTGTGGGTCTGATGTAGTTACTCACTGTGGACACTAGCATTACTGACTTTATCACACACACACACACACACACACACACACGTTTGGGCACCCCAGCTAAAAATTTGTATTAATGTGCATAAAGAAGCCAAGGAAAGATGGAAAAATCTCCAAAAGGTATCAAATTACAGATTAGACATTCTTATAATATGTCAACAAAAGTTAGATTTTATTTCCATCATTTACACTTTCAAAATAACAGAAAACAAAAAAAATGGCGTTTGCAAAAGTTTGGGCACCCTGCAGAATTTATAGCATGCACTGCCCCCTTTGCAAAGCTGAGACCTGCCAGTGTCATGGATTGTTCTCAATCATCGCCTGGGAAGACCAGGTTATGTCAATCTCAAAGGTTTTTAAATGCCCAGACTCATCTGACCTTGCCCCAACAATCAGCACCGTGGGTTCTTCTAAGCAGTTGTCTAGAAAACTGAAAATAGTTGACGCGCACAAAGCTGGAGAAGGCTATAAGAAGATAGCAAAGCGTTTTCAGATGTCAATATCCTCTGTTCGGAATGTAATTAAGAAATGGCAGTCATCAGGAACAGTGGAAGTTAAAGCAAGATCTGGAAGACCAAGAAAAATATCAGACAGAACAGCTCGCAGGATTGTGAGAAAAACAATTCAAAACCCACGTTTGACTGCACGATCCCTCCAGAAAGATCTGGCAGACACTGGAGTTGTGGTACACTATTCCACTATAAAGAGATACTTGTACAAATATGGTCTTCATGGAAGAGTCATCAGAAGAAAACCTCTTCTATGTCCTCACCACAAAAATCATCGTTTGAACTTTGCAAATGAACATATAGACAAGCCTGATGCATTTTTGAAACAAGTTCTGTGGACCGATGAGGTTAAAATGGAACTTTTTGACCGGAATGAGCAAAGGTACGTTTGGAGAAGAAGGGGCACAGAATTTAATGAAAAGAACCTCTGCCCAACTGTTAAGCATGGGATTGGATCAATCATGCTTTGAGGTTGAGTTGCAGCCAGTGGCACAGGGAACATCTCACGAGTAGAAGGAAAAATGGATTTAATAAAATTTCAGCAAATTTTGGATGGTAACTTGATGCCATCTGTGAAAAAGCTGAAGTTAAAGAGAGGATGGCTTCTACAAATGGATAATGATCCTAAACACACCTCGAAATCCACAGGGGATTACATCAAGAGGCGTAAACTGAAGGTTTAGCCATGGCCTTCACAATCTCCTGACCTCAACATAATTGAAAATCTATGGCTAGACCTTAAAAGAGCAGTGCGTGACAGACAGCCCAGAAATCTCAAAGAACTGAAAGACCTTTGTAAGGAAGAATGGGCAAAGATACCTCAAACAAGAATTGAAAGACTCTTGGCTGGCTACAAAAAGCGTTTACAAGCTGTGATACTTGCCAAAGGGGGCAGTACAAGATATTAACTCTGCAGGGTGCCCAAACTTTTGCAGACGCCATTTTTTTGTTTTCTGTTATTTTGAAAGTGTAAATGATGGAAATCTAACTTTTGTTGACATATTATAAGAATGTCTAATCGTAATTTGATGCCTTTTGGAGATTTTTCCATCTTTCCTTGGCTTCTTTATGCACATTAATACAAATTTTTAGCTGGGGTGCCCAAACTTTCGATCCCCACTGTATATGTGACTTGTAGTGCATTCTAGCTAGGTATAAATATAGTAGGAGTTTGTTCCCATTTCTCCATGTCTCTTAGTGCCTGGAATAGGAGGTGGGTGGCCTGTGATCATGACAAGAGAACCTACCCTGAGGAACATGGTTCCCATTATAGATTTTCTCCTCCCCATCTTCTCAGTTATGTCTGTTTAAATCCAAACTCAAATTTCTCGCTCACCAGTGTCTCATCTGCAACACATTTGTAGTAGACTTACTTATTTTTTTCATCTGCTTTGTGGCTGGTCATGTAATGAGCAGTATCGTCTTTTTTTGTCTTCTTATTGAGTGGTCCTATATTCTGGGTTGAGGTAGTGACATATGAGAGCCATTTTGTGCAGTGGTACTGCAAACTCTGGCCAGGGTGCCCTGACTTCACTAAATTTGGGTTAAATGATGCTGTGCATCATTTTCTGGGTCTGCATTAGAACAATATCGTTGAACTCAAGGCAAAATTCTAGATACAGAGATGAAATTCAGATAAGGTCATTGTTTTATCTGCCAAATGATTTGTCTTTCTATCTAGTTTTAGGATTTACACAGCTCTGCTACAATGCCCAGACCTTCCTTACAGGGCAGGAAGACCTAATTTCCCCTAATTCTAATGCCACCATTCACCAGGCTCCTGCAGACACTGCCCACAGCTTTTTACCTATACCTCTGTACTGACTTTGTAAGCTGTTGTAGAAGTGTCCATGAACTATGAGTGCTGACCAGCACCCCTACAGTTCATTGAGAACTGCAAGACGTCTGCTGCAGTGGCAGACAGGATTTGTAGTCCATCCATTCACAGGGATTCACAGGGTAATGAAGTGGGTAGTATGGGGGAGGGGGTCCTGTGTAATGAAGGGGGTAGTATGGGGGAGGGGGTCCTGTGTAATGAAGGGGGTAGTATGGGGGAGGGGGTCCTGTGTAATGAAGGGGGTAGTATGGGGGAGGGGGTCCTGTGTAATGAAGGGGGTAGTATGGGGGAGGGGGTCCTGTGTAATGAAGGGGGTAGTATGGGGGAGGGGGGGTCCTGTGTAATGAAGGGGGTAGTATGGGGGAAGGGGTCCTGTGTAATGAAGGGGGTAGATTGGGGAAGGGGGTCCTGTATAATGAAGGGGGTAGTATGGGGGAGAGGGTCCTGTGTAATGGTTGAGGTAGTATGGGGGAGGTGGTCCTGTGTAATGATGGGGGTGGCATGGGGGAGGCGGTCCTGTGTAATGGTGGGGGTGGCATGGGGGAGGCGGTCCTGTGTAATGGTGGGGGTGGCATGGGGGAGGCGGTCCTGTGTAATGGTGGGGGTGGCATGGGGGAGGCAGTCCTGTGTAATGGTGGGGGTGGCATGGGGGAGGCAGTCCTGTGTAATGGTGGGCGTAGCATGGGGGAGGTAGCCCTGTGTAATGGTGAGGGTAGTATGGGAGAGGGGGTTCTGTATAATGATGAGGGTAGTATGGAGGAGGGGGTCCTGTGTAATGATCGGGGTAGTATGGGGGAGGTCTATGTGTATTTTTCGTTTTTTTTAGATATTGGATGCAGAGCAAAATGGCATGGGGGGGCCCAAGAAAGTGTTTGCCCAGGGCCCAATCAATATTAAAGACGGCCCTGGCTCCAAGCCACCTGGGTGTTCATTTTGACCTTTTTTTTTTTTTCTTTTCTTTTCTTTCTTTCATGGGGCTTCTACCATCTAGGAACAAGTCCTTCCTTCTCTTGCTTCTCTGTTAAAATCTGGTTGTGGGGCCTATACAGCATGTAGAGTTCTATGCTCCCACTTTGAGTAGAGCCAAAGCTTATTTTTCCCATTGGTTACTAGGCAGCTATTCACTCTCCGATGTTGCTCCTGCAGCAGGTGTTTTTTTTTTTTTTTTTTTTTTTTACCGTTAATTTGTTTTGAGGCCTTTCTGGCCGCCTTTTCTTTTTTTGATTGTTTAGGATCCTCCCATTGTCTGTAAATCAGTTCCTGTGTCTTGATCTGTAGAATACAAACCAGGAATTCTGTATCTTGAGTACAGTACAGGACAGGTACCTCCCCTCTCTTCTCCATGATCTCTCTATGGCTCGCTAACAAAAGTGGAATGTATGTGTGTGTGGTTAGAGGTGACCCAGCAAACTTTTGCTATTGTCCACCTAACAGTAGTGGCATATAACCCATGATCTGTGAATAGATTTCTGTGTCCTGTACTGTAGTAAAAGATGCTACAAAAACGAGTCATGCTGGTAGTAGAAAGGGTTATTTATCATAGGCTTGTCTACATTGGTTTGGGTTGGTTTTTTTTTTCCTTTTTTTTTTGTTTTTTTGTTTTTTTTTTTACGCCTTTAGGCTAGGTTCACACCTATGCTGCTTGCGTTTTGATCAGTTTCTGCAGTGCTTTTTGCGGTGCATTTTGTGTTTTTTGTTAAATTTTTTTCTATGCTTTTTGGATTTTTTTTCCAACTTGTTGCTGGACAGATTAAAGTGCAAAAATGCATCAAAAGCACACTACATATTTTTCTGCAGTGTCTCCAATGAAGTCTATTGAACCAAAAAAGCAACGTTTTGCATTTTAAAATGTCCCTGACCCTTTCCAAAAAACACATCAGGTGAAAACGTGGAGATGTGAACCTGTCCCATAGGTAATCATGATAAATGGACTGCTGTGAGTTTCTGCAAAACGCAACGGAAAACACATAGGTGTGAACCTAGACTTAGACAGCAGTATCACCCAGAGTTGAAAGAATTCTGGTGTGCCTTAATGGACTCCAAAAAAATGTATGTGTTCAAACCTTTTATTTCATTGGCAGTTTGTATTGTCATTCGGAAGCAAAATAAATCTTTCAGATTAGGGGAAATATTTTTCTGCAAGGCATTAGGAAATACCTTCTTTGATGGGAATGCATTTTAAAATTCAGTTTATTATTTTAAATGTTTCTTTACTGGAAGATTACACCATTAAAAGACCTAAAAATTGAACTTAACGAAATATTTTGGTTTTGCAGGAGCTTTCTCTATTGCCACTGATGGAACCTTCAATCACAGCAAACTTCAGCCTGTTTGCTCCGTTTGGCAGCAGTAGTCCAGTTGATGGCAAAAGTCCATTGAAAGGCACTTTTGGTAGTGGAGCTTTGGATAGCATACCAGACTACTACACTCAACTGCTAAGCAAGGTACCTTTTGTTAATGCCTAAAAGGACATCATGTGAATTTACAGAATCATTACGCTATTTTTTTTAATAAAGAGGTAATTGTTTACGTTTCATTTTTTTTGCCTCTTCAGAATAACCTCAGCAATCCCCCTACACCACCTTCATCGCTGCCTCCAACTCCACCTCCATCTGTGCAGCAGAAAATGGTGAACGGTGTAACAGCAGCTGAAGAGCTGACAGAGACTAAGAAGGAACCTGAAAACAGTGTAGAATCAGAGGTTAAAAAAGGTGTGATCAGTTTTTATGCCTAAGTGTTGTACATTGAAAACAGAGGGGTTCAAATATTGAATTGCTGACAGAAGCACTTTTACTTATCATTGTTGAAATCTGCATGCTTGGTATGATTATATATAATATGAGTGGGCAATCATTACACCTTGATTCAAATAGTGGATGCAGGTAGAGGTGGCATATTTGAACAAATGCCGCATGAAGTTATGGTGTATTCATTTTCATGATCACATTAAAAAAAAAAAAAAAAATATGTTGAGTTGTCATATGGAAAAAGTACAATCACTTGGGGGGGGTCATGTCAGTGCAAGCCTAATCATTGGATTAGCTCCCAGTGCAACCAGAAAACTGACCATACTGTGCTCTGATGCATAGTGTGGCCAGTTTTTAATAGGGACAGGGACTTGCAAGAACACCAGCCTCTAAGACAGCAATGGAAAAAGAACAGGATACTTTTTCATACATGGTACAGTAGGCACATATCAGGAATATGAAGTTGGGGTTTTCATACTCTTTAATAAAAAGCCTTTGCTGCCCATAAGAAGCATATAGGCAAAGAGAAATGAAAATTAACGCTTCTACCTCCTTAAAGTGGAGTTCCACTCACACTGTCAAAAAGTCAGCAGCTAAAAAAAACTGTGGCTGCTGACTTTTAAAAAACAGCCACTCACCAGTCCCACGATCCCGCGGTGCCCTCCCTGCAGCCGTTTCACCAGCCGACTGGTGTTCCAGGTGCCGGCATCTTCATTGTGGGCACCCGGCTGTGACAGCTTACGGCTTCACAGCCGGGTGCCCACTGCGCATGTGCGAGTAGTGCTGTGCTTCCTGAATGGTCCCGTAGTCTTCTGATACCTGTCACATGTCCTAGAAGACTATGGGGAGGGAGGACAACTTTCGCTTCCGATCGCCTAGGTGATCACAGCAGAAGTGGGAGCGGGTACCTGTCAAATTTGCGGGCCCACTCACCAAAGATGCCAGTCCTTAATGGGGAGCGGGGAACCAGTCTTTAAAGCGAAACTTCCCATTTTGGGTGGAGCTCCGCTTTAATTAAAAATCCACGGTTGAATGGCCGATGCTCAGGCATACATTGTGGTCTACTGAAGAAGGGAAGATCGCTGGAATCGCAGTCAAGTGCAGGAAGATATCAGCTTGAGTTAGACAGTACATTAATGTGTACAGCACAGTCAGTGTTGCCACCATAATGACCTTGACTTAATACCACCCCCCTGTAGACAGCTCAAGTAAAAGACATTCAACATAGATGTATACAAGCTGGAATGAGGTAATTGACAATCAGAAAGTTCAGACTGAACAATCTCTTACAACAATCGAGATAAAAACGAACACCAAAAATTACATGTAAAAAGTTTAAAAACAGTTGTGATAAAGCATCCACAGCAAAAAAGTGAGATGCGTCTCCCCCACCCTATAGGTGGTCTAATACCTAGCGTGGTCAGTTTTTAATAGGAAAGCAGAAGGACTGGCAGGAACACCAGGCATTTCACACAAAGGAAGCAATACAAAGAAAACAGGACACTTTTTTTTTCTTACATGGTACAGCAGGCACATATGAGGAGTATGAAATATTGAGTTTACATATTTAATAAAAAGCCTTTGCTGCACATAAAGAACATTGGAATAAAGCAAAGACTAGGTCTTCTGCAACACTGTGCTGAAGACTGGTCATGTTTGATGCGTTCATGTTTACTACAAACCAAAGACCATATTTTTGGAGAGGACCTTCATAACTGCGAAGCGTTGTGGTGGTAATGCTTTGATTTGGGGTTGGGTTGCTTTACTATTTCAGGGTCTAGGCAGCTCAGTCATTAAGTCAGCTATGAATCCTGCATCATATCATTGTGCTTGATGAAAAGTTGAGGCCATATGTTCAAAAAGTTGACCCATAAATAAGTCATTCAACACAATTATCTGAAGCACACAAGTAAAATCCACCAAGGAATGGTTAAAAACGAATTAGAAAGTTTATAGGCTGCCCTTTTCAAAGCCCTGATTGGATTCTTATTGAAATTTTATAGGGGGATTTTGAAGAAAGTGAAAAGAAGGAAATTAATTTTGCAAGCAGTTAAAAATTTCACTGTATTTATGCCATTGACTTGTGGGCAGTTATTTCTGCTCAAGGGGCAATACCAGCTTTTGATGCCAAGGTTGTACTTTTTCCACATTACACCATTACATCTATTATTGGTATTTTTTATATACTATAACTGATTGAAAAGGCACATTTTTCTTGTGTTCTTATTGAAATATTTCACCTTTTATCTGTGGGCACTTCTTGAATAAAGATCTAATGTTTGCCCGTTCAAATATGTTGATGAAGCCCATTCATTTCCATGGTGCATTATTTATTTTTTACATGACCGCATATTCTAATTTTGAAATAAATATATTGTCCGCACCCAGCAAGTTTCTGGACATTTTTTCTGGTGTTGAAGTATAGCATGTAAAGCTTGTAATTATGAAAGCACCCTCATGTTTGTTCTTTTCTACCAGGCTCAGATGAGCGCAATTTGGACCTTTTGGCTGCCCTTCCCACTCCCCCACACAACCAGAGTGAAGATGTCAGGTGAGGAGAGACTGATGGATCCATAAGGGTTTCCTGCATTTATCAGTGAATGGATAGTGATTTATATAATATTTTTTTGCCACAATAGAATGTTCTACTGTGCTGTTTGTATCCTTAGGATGGAGAGTGATGATGAAGAAAGTGATTCTCCTGACAGCATTGTGCCAGCTTCCTCCCCTGAAAGTATTCTTGGAGAAGACACACAACGGTTCCCTTCATTGTGTGAGGTGAAAGAAGAGGAGGAAGAACGGGCCTTATCTCCAGTGATACCACTAATTCCTCGTTGTGCCATACCAGGTCAGTTCCTGAAATGTTTATTCTGATTTGTAATTTGTACAATTTGTACAGTTTACAGCACTTGAATATCTGTTCTGCTAATAATTCGATTGACTTCTTGGTACAGTGTTTCCAGACGTGAAAGAGGCTTTATCTGCTCCACCAGAGTGCTCTGATAAGATAATGCTGAATTCTGCTGGAGGAACCATATCGTGGGATAAGGGGAAAGGCAGTGAGGTTTCAGTTATGCTGACAGTATCCGCAGCAGCAGCAAAGGTAGGTGAAGCTGGTCAAACAGATGTTCCCTTGCAAGTTTACTACTATATAATGGGGGGGGGGATGTTGAGTCTCGCTGTGTCTATAGATGCAGGTAGTGTGGCTCCAGATTGAGCTGGCAGGTGTGCCACCATATGAAGCGGCTTCCTATGGTGGCACACCAAGAAGAGGAGGAGCACTGGCCTGGGACCCGAAAAGGAGAGGATCAGGTCTGCTGTGTGCCGTACTATTGCACAGAGCAGGTAAGTATAACACATTATAAAAAAAAAAAAAAAAAAAAAGACTTTGCAAGAGCTTTACTGTCTTAAACTGAAACCTACATATCCGTGTGAATGAGTCAAAGTAAGGGACCTTATTTCTTCTCCTTCATACAGAACTGTACCAGGTTTCAGTCAGACTGTGATTTAAAGTAAATCATTTCTGCTTGTATATTTTAAATTTAGCAAAAACAAATGTTCTTTAAGCTTTTTTCCTACCCTATGTAAGAATAGATATATATACATACCTATTCTCAGGCCACTCACGTGATCGCCTCTGTGTCAGCCAGCTTCAGCTACAGGGAAAAAGAGAGAGTTCTGTCAGCAGCTGGAATGCTTGAGCTGTGTTATCACCCATAGGCTTATCATGAGCCATTAGTTTTCAGGGCTCCCTTCTCTGCCCTGAAGCTGCTGCTAGCTGACAGTGGGGAGCCAGCCGTGTGATTGAACCAGGGCAGCTTGAAAATAGGTAAGTATATGTATCTTTCTTCCACAGGGTAGTTCATATAGGTGTTCGAAGGAGGGTGGGAGCATTTTTAAGATTAGGTTGTATCGCAGAATTCTACTTATGAGCAGTAGTAAAATACTGCATTATGGTCACTAAGTGGAGCTGAGGAGCATAGGAAATGCACTTCTCTTTAACCAGTAACAGTCCAGGACAATTATGACATTCCTCTCCTACATGTATAAATCAGCATTTTTTTTGCTAGAAAATTTCTTAGAACCCCCAAACATTATAAATATTTTTAAGCAGAGGCGATAAAAAATAAAATGTTGGGTGTTGCATATTTTTTATGTCAATGATATTTGCTCAGCCGTTTTTTGAAACGCACATTTTTGGCAAAAAAATAAGCTTTGTTGAATTTTTATGTACAAAAACACAATATAATACCCAGTTGTTTGGTGGTATAAAAAAAGCTGAAATGCCAAGTAAATAGATTTTTTTTATTACTATTATTATTATACAGTATTTATAAAGCGCCAATAGTTCGCTCAGCGCTGTACATTACAAAGGGGGACAGAACATGTGACAGAACAATACCAATACAATGCAAAACATGAGGGGATCAAGGGCCAAACATGATAGTATATGGCGAGCGCTGTGTATAGCAAAAAGCAGCTAGCACAAGAGACAATGACCATAAATCTCACAGTAACATATGTGTGTAAATTACAGTGCTAAAATCATATAAATAAAACATCCAAGAGTTTTGCAAAACAGTAAAAAAAAATTTTTTACATATAGGTGCAAACAAAAACAAAAAAAAATCAGTGAAACAATAAATTAATAAAGTCCATACGGTGTAATATATAGGTGCTAGTGTATATCACAATAACAATGTGAAAAGGTATAGTCCATATATGTGTCAGTGGTACTGCAAGACACACAAAACGGCAATGTGTCCAACTTCAAATACTACCGGTATAGTAGCAATGATCGATGGTCAATCATTACAATCCTTAGCCAGAGATCCTCTTAGAAGAAAATCTTTCACAAGTTTCATTTTGCTGGAGTCAATATCCATGATCTTCTGATACCATGTTCTTGCCTCCTCAAATTTTTTAAGTCCAAGAAACGCTTTTGCCATATGAACGTAGGCATTTAGGCACTTTCCATCACACTTCAATGTCCACTCAGTCTGTTATAGTATTCTGGTACTTTTGCAGTTTTATATAAGCCCCCAGGCTGGGATCTGAAGACTCAGGCAGGGTCATCAATCATCATCAATTGCTACTATACCAGTAGCATTCTGGTGAATGCATAGTGGTGGTGGAGTGTTCAATAGATACCAAACATGACATGCTTTAAAATTGCCTACGCCTGTGGAATGGTGCCAAACTATGATACCTAATAATTTTTATAAGTAACACTTTAAAAGCCTTTACAGGTTACCAGTTTAGAGTTGCACAGGAGGTCTGGTGCTAAATTTATCGATTGGACGTTCCTGGCGATACCTCACATGTGGTGCGATCCAAAGCATTTGATCAAACCCATTTCATCAAATGCTTTCACAAGCCGGTAATGGCTTGTTTACATGAGATGAAAACATTGTCTCTTCAATTTGTATCATCTCTGCTTTCAAACATCACAGTGGCGGAACAAACATCAGTTCCTCTGTGTCCCAGGAAGTGGATTCCCCGAGTTGCATCTTTATCAGGCTCCTTAATGGGATGGAGAACCCAGTAAAGGCAGCTGGGGGGGGGAGGCCACTTCCGCCACTGCCTGTAACAGTAATCCAGTAGCTCTATAGCTGCTCAGATTACTTTCACTTTGTGCAGAATCACTGGTCCTAAAAAAAAAAAAAAACTCTTCCTAACCAAGGACAAACCGGGTACATCCTATGGATGGGAGGTGTTTAACAAAAGAGAAACTTCTAGAGAATGCTAGCATTCTTAGGATTGTCCATTCAGATTTGCTGGATGAATGGCTCTGCAAATTTTTTCTTAGACAGACCCCATAGTTTTATATGAATTTTGCTATGATTTCCCCAGTGCATTAAATGGCCATTTCTAAATCAAAGCTTTGAAACAGAGTCAAATATATATAACGGTTTGTTAAAAAACCCTGGTTAAACATGGCAAACAAATGTAAAGTTTTACAATAAATATGTACTTGGTGAAGGTAACCTTTTAGTTATATATGCTATATACACTTTTAAATAAGTTTTGGTTTCTTCTATCTTCAGAATTTGAATAGTGTGGTGGCAGCGGTTGCTGGTCTATTGAGTATTAAGTTACCAAATTCCTATGAAGTGCTTTTCCCAGACAGTGGGCTGAAAACTAATGTAGAAGTGAAGAAGCCTGCAGATCCTTCCACAGAAGGTAAATGGAAGTTTTACTTGGCCTTTAATAATTTTAAAGTTCATTTCACAATATTTTTTACAGTAATGGTATATTGATCTGTCATTTTATTAGTTTTATTTATGTACATCGATACAAGTCCATAGATTTTTTTTTATTTTTTTTTGCCTGGGCCCAGGGGCGGACTGACAACTCATGGGGCCCCCGGGCAATAGGGGATCATGAGGCCCCTGTGTCCTTGCCCAAACTCAAAAAAGCCTATGAAAAAGGTACCAGGGGCATCTCATGAGGCCCCCTACTGACCCCGGGCCCTCGGGAAATGCCCGAGTTTCTAAATGGTCAGTTCGCCCCTGCCTGGGCCTTAATTGGAGTGAGCAAAGTCAGCAGTGGTGCATAACTGGTAATATCCATGTGCTACATATCCAAATAAGAGAATGAACCTGAATTACAAAAAGAATGGAACTGTTGGTATAATGTGGAAGTTGAGAAATGAAAATAGTCTGTTGTGATCTACTACTAATTGTTTCCTAAAACATTAATGTCATTGTCTTCTTGACTAAAACCTGCAAAATAAAAGAACAGATTTCCATTTTGCATTGCGTCCTTCTAATTTTAGTATATATATATATATATATATATATATATATATATATATATATATATATATATATATATATATATATATAAAAATGAGATAGATGGTGGTATATAAATGTTGTTGCCCTCCTTGTTTTTTTCTAAAAGCAGACATCCTAGAGATTAAAATAGTGGTAGTTGCAGTTTTGTATGTAACATGATATTATTGCAGATGTCTAGGAAACACAACATTTCAGTAAAAATCACACTTAAGTGAATTTTAGGGCAAACAAATGACCCAAATTTTTGGTAAAAAATGAGGTTGTGCTGAGGAAATAAATACCCAACATGCCAAACCGTAAATTTTTGTGTGCCTATAAAATCAAACTTCAGTACCCTATATTTTCTATAGACGACACTTCAAAAGCCCCTATTAGTCATCGGTTTAGCATTAAGGAGGTGTGGTTCTAAAGCGATGTGTAACGTGTATTGCAATCAACATCCTGATGCGTAGGCGCTCTGTGTGTGTATATGTAGGGGGGGGGGTCTTAAAAAAAAAAAAAAAAAAAAATAATTTGTGGGTGGATGTCGGGTGTAACTTTTTTTTTTTTTTTTTTTTAAACAAAGAAATATTTTTTTGATGGTTCTAGCAAAAAGGTTTATGTTGTTTTCTTAGCCATATTCTCTCTTGAAAGAAACCCAAGAAACAGATTTTGTATTTATACTCTTCCCGTTACAAACTCCCACTGCGCTTTCATAGAAACTATCCTGTTTGTAAGCATTTGCTGTTTTTAACCACCTCCCGCCCGCCATATAGTAATATGGCGGACGCAAGGTGGTTTTCTCATTCTGGGAGGACGTCATATGACGTCCTCCCATTCTTACCACGCATGCACGGCTCAGGGAGTGCGCGGCAATCGGCGGAGCGCTGTGTCCATCGGACACAGCGGATCACCTATCACAGAAAGAGCCGAAGATGTCGGCTCAGTCATGTGATCAGCTGTGTCCAATCACAGCTGATCACATGTAAACAGGGAAATGCCGGTTATCGGCATTTCTCTCCTCTCAAGCTGTCACGCTGACAGCTCGAGAGGAGAGCCGGTAATCAGCTTTCTGCGGAGGGGACATGTACACTGATGATCAGTGTATCCCCAGCAGCGCCACCTGTCGGTGTCCATCAGTTCCTTGTGTCAGTGCTCATCAGTGCCCATCAGTGCCACATATCAGTGCCTACCAGTGCACATCAATGCCACATATCAGTGCACATCTGAGCTGCCTTTCAGTGTCACCCATCAGTGCCGCCTATCAGTGCTGCCTTTCAGTGCCACCTATCAGTGTCCACCAGTGCAGCCCATCACTGCAGCCTCATTAGCGCATATCAGTGAAGGAGAAAAATCACTTCTTTACAAACTTTTATAACAAAAACTAAAACTTTTTTTTTTTTTCAAAATTTTCAGTGGTTTTTGGTTTAAGAAAAAAAAATAAAAAAAACCCAGAGGTGATTTTAAATACCACCAAAATAAAGGTCTATCTGTCGCAAAAAAATGATACAAATTTCATATGGGTACAATGTTGCATGACCGCGCAATTGTCATTCAAAGTGCGACATCGCTGAAAGCTGGAAATTTGGCCTGGGCAGGAAGGGGGTATAAGTGCCCTGTAGGCTAGCGGTTAAAGCCCACGAAGGTCCAACAAATACCTGATATACTTAAAAAAATAAACATAAAGCATTGCTTTGTGGCATGTTCGGCTGCATTTTTTTAGTATTGAAAGCATTGAAAAGATGCTGGTTTGCAGTAATTCACATACAGTTATACCTCGGTTTGCAAATTTCAGGAAAACCAAATTTCAGCAAAAATCTGAAAAATCGTAAACGCTACTAAAATACTGCATGAGTTATTTTATTTAATTATTGTATTTTAGTAGTGACAACCATGTGTTAATGTTTCAGCTGTCAGCGGGGTTCCCCACTGACAGCTGAATGTAAAAGAATTGCCGGCAATTAAAAATATTATTTAACGAAGGCGTGGGGTTCCCCCTCCCATCCATACCAAGCCCTTTGGGTGTGGTATAGATTTTAAGGGGAACTTCCACGCTAAATTAAAAAAAAAAAAAAAAATGGCTTGTGGGTCCCCCCCCAAATCCATATCAGACCCTTATCCGAGCATGCAGCCCGGCAAGTCAGGAAAGGGAGGGACGGGCAAGCACGTTCTCCCACTTAGAAATCATGGAGGGGTCTGAAATTCACACTGTAGGTGCGTTCCCACTCTGACAGAATTTAAAACAAAATTCAGGAAATCACATTGTATGATTTTTAAAGAATTTTATTTGTCTTGCACTGCTGAACAGAAGTATTTGAACACCTAAGAAACAGCAAGAATTCTGGCTCTCAAAGACCTGTTACTATGACTTTAAAAAGTCCACCTCTACTCCACTCATTAATCTAACTTAATAGCACCTGTCTGAGCTCTTTAAAGACACCTGTCCACCCCACAGTCAGACGCCAACTACTACCATGGGCAAGACAAAAGAGCTGTCAAAAGACACCAGACACAAAATTGTGGACCTCCACAAGGCTGGAAAGGGCTACGGGGCAATTGCCAAGCAGCTTGGTGAAAATAGATCAACTGTTGGAACAATTGTTAGAAAACGGAAGAGGCTAAAGACGACTGTCAGTCTCCCTCGGACTGGGGCTCCATGCAAGATCTCACCTCGTGGGGTATCACTGATGATAAGAAAGGTGAGGAATCAGCCCAGAACTACAAGGGAGGAGCTGGTCAATGACATGAAGAGAGCTGGGACCACAGTTTCAAAGGTCACTGTCGGTAGAACACTACGCCATCATGGTTTCAAATCATGCATTGCACGGAAGGTTCCCCTGCTAAAGTCATCACATGTCCAGGCTCGTCTGAAGTTTGCAAATGACCATCTGGATGATCCAGAGGAGGCATGGGAGAAACTCATGTGGTCAGATGAGACCAAAGTAGAACTTTTTGGTCTAAAATTCACTCGTCGTGTTTGGAGGAAAAAGGATGAGTTGCATCCCAAGATTACCATCCCTACTGTGGAGCATGGGGGTGGTAACATCATGCTTTGGGGGTGCTTTTCTGCAAAGGGGACAGGACGGCTGCACTGAATTAAGGAGAGGATGAATGGGGCCATTTATTGTGAGATTTTGAGCAACAACCTCCTTCCCTCAGTCACAGCATTGAAGATGGGTCGTGGCTGGGTCTTCCAACATGACAACGACCCGAAGCACACAGCCAGGATAACCAAGGAGTGGCTCCGTAAGAAGCATATCAAGGTTCTGGAGTGGCCTAGACCAGGGGTAGGCAACCTGAGCTGTTGCAGGACTACATGTTCCATCATGCCTCTGCAAGTCATAGCTGTAACTGTCAGTTTTGTAATGTTGCAATGCCTCATGGGAAATGTAGTTCCACGACAGCTGGAGAGCCGCAGGTTGCCTACCCCTGGCCTAGACAGTCTCCAGACCTAAATCCAATAGAACATCTTTGTAGGGAGCTGAAACTCTGTGTTGCTCAGTGACAGCCCCGAAACCTGACAGATCTAGAGGAGATCTGTGTGGAGGAGTGGGCCAAAATCCCTGTTGCAGTGTGTGCAAACCTGGTCAAGAACTACAGGAAACGTTTGACCTCTGTAATTGCAAACAAAGGCTTCTGTACCAAATATTAACAATGATTTTCTCAGGTGTTCAAATACTTATGTTCAGCAGTGCAAGACAAATAAATTCTTTAAAAATCATAAAATGTGATTTCCTGAATTTTTCTTTTTAATTCTGTCTGAGTGGGAATGCACCTACAATGTGAATTTCAGACCGCGTCATGATGTCAAAGTGGGAGAACTTGCAAAATCGCAGGGTTTTCAAATACTTCTGTTCCTCACTGTATCCAACGTCATTCACAATGTCCACCGCCGCCGACCTGAAAAAAGAAGGGAAAAAAAAAAGGTTCCGTTCCCCGTGCTGGCTGCAAGCCTTCTGCTCTGAGCTGGCTTGACAGTTCTTAAATATGTAAGGGGCGGGGCCACCTGGGACATCACACATGTAACATAAATGATGTCACTTGAGGAGGAGTCACTCGAGTGCCAGTTTTTAAATGTAATTATCGCTTTTTTTTTTTTTTTTGTCTTCACTCTACAGTAGTTCAGAAATTCAGCTGTCACTTTCCCCCTCCAGCTAAAAGAGAGCGTTTCTTTTAGTTTCCCCAAGTTAAAAGAAACAGTTTCCTTTGTTTCTTAAAAGATACAAAGTTTCCTGTAACTTCGGGGAAAGTGACAGCTAATGTGAGCTATAGTGAAGAAAAAAAAAGACAGCAATTGCATTTAAAAATCAGCACGGACATACTCTTCGTATTACATAAAAAATTTGTAAACCGAGGCATTATTTTCAATGGATTTTCAATCGTAAACCAAAAATTATGTAAACCGAGGTATTGCTCTTTCTTCCTTCATTTCCCAACAGAGCAGCCATGACTCGTATGTCATCATTTATAATCTGGTTGTCAGCATTGGTTAAATCTTGAGTTCGCCTTTAACTAGAACACGTCTTCCAGCTTGGCAGTTAATAGTTTTCTTTGCTTGTAATTTTATTAATACATCTTTTATATACTTCTTTCACAGGTGAAACCACTGAGAAGGACAAATCTCAGCCTGGAAAACTAGAGAACAGCACTGATTGGTTGAAGCAACTTGATGCTGTACTTCCTGGTTACACACTTAAGAGCGAGCTGGATATCCTTACTCTTTTGACACAAGTCAGTTATTACACTTGTCTAAATTTAAACTTGTGCACATTTGTCAAAGAATTGTTTTGGTTTGTCAATCACCTTGCATTACAAAATACAGTTCTTCTGTACTTGTATATAATGTAATTCTGTCCAGTAGAAAGCACTAACCGATGCTGTTGATTGCAAACATACTTGGCTGCTAGAAATAGGTATTTAATGTTAGGTGCAAATGCCTAAATAAGTATATATTGACTGCCTTCAGGGCTTGTTCACACCATATGTGCACAAAAACTGATGGAAACTGATGTGCAGATTTTACTTGCAAAGACATCAATTTACATGTTTTAATGTGTGCTGCAATGAGTTTTATACACGTTGCAGATTCCTGCACAGAAAAAATCTGCAGGTGATACTGGTGTTGTGGTGTCAACAGGGCACATAGAGAACAATTGATTTTGTTGTGCCCTTGCAGAAAGCATGCAGAAAAATTGACATCTCTGCACCATGGTGTGAATGAGTCCTTAAGTTTTTCCTCTATGCCTGTCACAATCTAGATATAATAATGCTTTTTAAATGTTTTTTTTCTTCTAGGAAGAAACGGTTGTGGAAAAGCCAGTAAATCATTGTTATGTTAACAATGTTTCTAACCTGGATGTACGTCAACTTCCTGTTTTGCCTGAAGAAACATCGCCTCCTTTGTCTCCTTTTGTCCCATCACCTGCAAGTCCTGTGGAGCCTCCTGCTGCTGAACCAGAGCCAGTTCCACCTCCTGCACCAAGTCCTCCGCCGCCACCTCCTCAATCCCCAGTCACTGGGGAGGAAACAATGGACGCTATTAAAATTAAGCAGCGGGCACGTCCTTTGGATGAAAGCATTGAGGAACCACGGCCAAAAATAAAGAAGTGGAAAGGAGTCCGCTGGAAGAGACTGCATATCCTGATAACCTTCCAGAAAATTAGTACACGTCATTGTGAGAAGGAGGTGTGCGAGGTCATAGAAAGACTAGGCACCACTCTAAAGCCTGACACATTGCCTCCAGATCTTCGAAAATGTTGCTTCTGCCATGAAGAAGGCGATGGAGCTACAGATGGACCAGCACGGCTTTTGAACCTGGATCTTGATCTCTGGGTGCACCTTAATTGTGCTTTGTGGTCTACAGAGGTGTACGAAACACAGGGTGGTGCACTGATCAATGTAGAAGTGGCACTGCATCGTGGATTGCTTACAAAGTGTTGCCTGTGCCAGAAAACAGGTGCCACAAACAGCTGCAATCGGATACGCTGTCCAAATGTCTATCACTTTGCCTGTGCCATACGTGCCAAGTGCATGTTCTTCAAGGACAAGACCATGCTTTGTCCAGTGCACAAGTTAAAGGGACCTTGTGAGCAAGAGCTAAGCTGCTTCACGGTCTTCCGAAGGGTGTATATTGAGCGAGATGAAGTGAGTCAGATTGCGAGCATTATTCGGCGTGGTGATCGTATCCACATGTTCAGAGTTGGCGGGCTTGTTTTTCATGCCATTGGTCAACTTCTGCCTCATCAAATGCAGGACTTCCACAGTGTGACTGCCCTGTACCCAGTGGGATATGAGGCAACCCGGATTTACTGGAGCATGCGCCATAGCCATCGCAGGTGTTCATATCGCTGCAGAGTGTGTGACAATAATGGACGGCCAGAATTTTCAGTACAGGTCATTGAATATGGCTATGAGGATGTCATTATGACAGATTCTTCTCCGCAGGGTAAGTTTCTGCTGCTAAAACATTGTGTAATATGGAATAAAATCCTTAGATTCTTTTTCAGCTGTCTACACACATGCAGCAAAATTGAGAATGGAGTAGTGTATGCCTTTAACTACCATGACCATTGTTCAGATCTTATAAAATTATCTGTTACAAAGGGTATTTGCATTAGAGATGTTAAAAATATACTTGGACATGTGCAGGGTGCATAGGTGGCCTCTCGTAGAACCTTAATGTTATTCTAGAGGTTGCTAAGGGTTCTTGAGAAGTGGCTAATTGACCTTCCATTTGTTCAAAGGTCAATGCCACTTGGCAGAACCAGATGACACCATCTTTTTAGCCTTTTAGCTGTCTGTAAAGGTTACTTTCTGACCCACAGTGAACTGGTTTTATCAGGGCTTCTCTGAGATCTGAAAAAAATTTCAGAGGTTTCTCTGTGGGTAAAAAGTGCCAGACCATTGTTTAAAATGTCTTTTTCTATGTGTACCCAGTAAAATCAATACCCAAGCCTTGAATTGCATAAATAAGGTATTGTCAGCTCTGTCCCCAGATGAAGGGATTGTTTGCATCTTGCCTAGAAATATATAAAAAAAAAAAAAGATAACCCTTTTTCTGGATTTAAGGTAAGCTCTGAATTCTTTCTCATCCTTTGAAGGAAATCATATACTGTACAGTCAGGGTATACTGCTACTACAGGACAAGTGGACAATGGCAAATGGAACGATTGTATACCAGCACATAACCTCTCATAGTCTCAGTATGCCTCACTTTGTCAGTGTTCTAGGTGGATGGACATCTACTATTCAGTTCTGCCTTTTTGGATGCTGTACAAACCACTTTAAAACTTGAGGATCAGCCTGTAGTGTCTATAGTCACGTATCATTGCTGTTCCAAGTCTTGGATCCTTTAGAGCTCCTAGGACTGCCAGGACCATCCTGATGCACCTGTTTTTTCCAGTCCCTTAAGTCTTTCCATTCTTTATGGAGTCGAGTTGACAAGGTGTTTTTTCCCCCCCAAGTACATATACTTTCAGTATCCATTTGAGGAGCACATAGGCAAGCCATAGATTCTGTGATTTTTTTTTTTTTTTTTTTTTTTTTTTTTCTTTCCTGCAACCAAATCGCTAAACTCTCCCATCAACACAGTCAGTATTGATGGAGAAATGCCTCTTGCACCGCTATTGTGTACTGCTAGTGGCTATAGCCGCAGACCATAATCGCATGCAAAAAATGTGACAGGCTGGTTGTACCCCAGTCGATTCATTCAGCCTGCCCATAGATGGATGAAATCTCGACTCGTCCCTGTTGAACAGTCCGAGATTCGATCCATCTATGGCCAGCTTTAATGGTCTCCCCATTCTGTGAATCCAAAAGTACCCAGTCTTAACTAAATGTCTGCCATTCCTGTTGAGGATGCATCTATCTTTAAGAGCTTCTAACTGATAAGCTGCTGGAGGCCTTCCCAGGTAGTTCTCGCTCAAAACAATTTGTTTTTGCTGTGACCTTGAATCTGCCAAACCCTGACTAGTTGGTCTAAGGCTATTAAAAGGGATCTGATTACTGTGGCAGTTGATCCCTTGGTCGTGGAGCTTTCAGCCCGGGTTCGCACTGATGCGGTGTGGAATTTGCGGCGGTTTCTGTACGAATTTTGCACCGCATCACAATCGCACCCCGTTCATGCGAACCGCTGAGGATGTGTGTTAACACCTTGAAATCAGTTCGCAAAAACACGGTGTGATGTGCAGAATCGGATCGCATGGGTGTGAACACCCATGCAATCCAATTCTAGTGCAGACCACAAAAAGTCCTGCACTTTTTTGATGCAGTGTGATTTGAGAAATAAGAAAATGTATGGCTCAAATCACTGCACCTGCTGTCACAATTTAAAAGGAGCGCGTGGGGCTCTGCCCACACGGCCTCATCATTCATTCACAAATTACATGTGAATACATGAACTACAACTACCATCAGCCATTGCAGCTGACAGCTTGTAGTTCTGAATGAACTGTGAGGTTGGTGATGAGCAGTCCTGTAGTTCATTCACAAGCCCTGCAGCTTGTAAACAGTCCGCCCATATAAAGGTATGGGCTGAAAGCTGCAGGGCTTGTCTGCAGAAGCCTGGCGTTGCACCCCTGATCAGTAGTTCACAGGTGTAATGCTTACCAGATTCCTTTGAGAAAAAGAAATAAATGCATATATTTTTTTCCTGCTGAAATTTGTGCATTTATAGAGATTTCCCTTTATTTCCTGTACTATAGCCAAATAGGAAGTGGGAGGAAATAACTGCAAATTAAGGGAATTACTTGGGGACTCCCAAGTCACTAGAACTAGTGTCCCCATTGGAAGATTTCCCCGCTATTACTTTTCTGGTGACAACCTAAAATTTAGGATTTTCTTTTAATTTCAATGATAATGGTAAACAAGACAAATAGAAGGTAAATCTCCTTAACAGGGGCACAGAATGCAATAAAAAACCTGATTGAGTGTTCTAATCCCTCTCCACTCTTAAAGGTTTGCCTTTAGGTATACTTTAATGTAAATGTTTTTTTGGAAACAATAAAATCAATTGGTTCAGCTTTAAGTGACAAACAAATAGAAGCCACACTCTAGTTAATTACTTTTTTCAGGCAGTTACAGCAACAGTATTTTTTTTGTTCTTTGTTTCATCGCACATTTAATGTAGTCTGGCTGCATTTATTAAAAAGTGTGTGAGCATGCCAAGGCTGGCAACATGATTGTACAATCTTTAAATTTATCAAAACCTATGAAGTGTTGGGGCTTACTTAGTTAGATTCAAACAGAAAAAACTGTTTAGGACCTTGCATTGAATAGCTGTTGGCAGATTGTATAGTAATTGTTTAGTTTACACTGCAAACTGTGCGGGTAGTTTTAGATGTTTACCTGCTTCCACCACAAACTTTTTAGCTGGTTCGTTCATTTATATTCCTGAATATTTTTCATCTATAGCTGGATATCTTGCACTTCCATTTCTTTATTGTGTTTTTCTATTGGCCAGCTCTCTGGAATCGTATTGCAGAACCTGTTGCACGGATGCGGAGAGAAACTGGAATGCTGCGCCTTTTTCCTGAATATCTGAAAGGAGAAGAGATGTTTGGACTGACACTACATGCAGTACTGCGTATTGCAGAGTCTGTAAGTTCTGTTAGAGCACATATTTAGGGCTCATACACAGGGGCACAGAGGCCTGTACAGTGCAAAGAGTTTTGTTTCTGGCACAGCTTTAGGCTTGGTTCACACTATTGATGCACTTTTGACTTGATTTGCTGTGTGACTATGATACGACTTTGGGTGCATTGTGGATGTGGTTTGCATATTCTTTGGGGTCAAATCGCACTAAAAAAACAAACAAGTAAACCTTAATAAATTTAAATTAATTTTTGGTTGCCCAGAAATGTTTGTGTTCAGCATTCTGAAGAAACTTTATGGATATGATTGGAAACTAATGCACAATCCCTTTTTACATTGTGCATATATTGCCAAGATAATTTGTTTCACATATGGCTTGGCTTGCATCCTAGTATATTTTTGTATATATTTCTCACAAAGTAGGTGGTGCTATATGTGCATCAATAGCACTTATAAAAAATGTTTTTAAAGGTACATGCCTTTGTAATCAAGTGTTAATTGACCTTTGTTATGTGGTATTGTGAAAATGTGAACTATAGAATAAAAAAAAAAAAATGTATGTCTTGCTTATAGTTGCCTGGAGTGGAAAACTGTCAAAACTATCTATTCCGATATGGCCGACATCCTTTAATGGAACTGCCTTTAATGATCAACCCAACTGGCTGTGCCAGATCCGAGCCGAAGATTATGACCCATTATAAAAGGTAAGAGACCCGTTTAACACGCCAGCTGGTACTTGTGTTTTAACCTCCCTGCCGGTATTCCCGAGTGTAGCTCGGCTTAAAGTTTCAGTACCACATGCGGTAACCCCGAGCTACACTCGGGAATACCATGCGGCACTGCTCTGCGATCCCTCGATCGCTTACCTTGTCCTGCGCTCCCGCGATGTCCCTCCTGCAGTGTCCCTGGCAATGTAATCCGGTGGATGCCGGTATCTGTCATCTGGGTTCCATCCCCTGCGAGCGTCTGGACGTATGGGGGACGGAACGGCGGGAAATTTGAAAATTACAAAAAGTGACATTAACTAAAATCACATAGTAAAACATTACTGTATCAAACCATTTCCTATACATTTTGTCCCAAGTGCTTTGTCCTGTGCCCTGCCTGCATTTTTACTGTTCTTATTGCCCGGAAACTGAGAAATGTCCATGGCGTCCAAAAAGCGTCCCTTTAGGTCAAAAGCGGTTTTAGATCAGCTAGAAAACATCGATAGTAAATCAGAACCACTTGCAGAACTGAGTGATAATGATTTGTGGGGAAATTCGTCATCAGACACTGAAAACAATTTTGCGTCTTTGCTCAGTGATGTTCGAACTTGGCACTATATTTCAAATTTCAGTGTTTTTGCTTTGATTATATTATTGAATTAAATTTATTATATTATTATTTTGTATGATTTATTAAATTATAATTTATGATTTCGTGTATCAAGTTTTATCATACCCGGGATGTTTACTAGACTCTTGTTCGGACAGATTTCAGTGAGTTATTCCTAAGAATTACAGGCCTACAATATAAAACGCCAACTTTCCATGCAAAATAATGGTACTGCTTTCAGCACCAAAAATCTGAAATAATCATACCTCCAGGGAGGTTACACATTTAATAAAAATATTTGTTGAGTTTTTCCAAAGTGCATCCACTAAATGTAAATAAATGTTCTGGTATTACATTTGTAGGGTGTAGAATGTGGCTGTATTCTATCTGCAATTACTGTATGCCTGCTGCAATATCTACAATTGTCAGTCATGGCATTATGATTATCCACCATAACCCGCCGAGGCCTAGACTCCTGAAGATATGCTATAGTATCTGGCACCACAAATGCTTGATTGAATTGCGATATTGGGAGTTTGGAGGCCAAGTCAACACCTCAAACTTCTTGTGTTTCTCAAACCATTCTTGAATTTATCAGACCAGACCATCTTCTTCCATGGTCCAGTTCTGATGCTCATTGCCCATGGTGTAGGTACTTTTGGCTGTGCACACATGTCAGCAGTGGTACCATGACCGGTCTGTGTCTAGGCAGCTCCATACGAAAGAAACTGCAATACTTTTTGTTCTGACCTTTCTATTGGAACCAGCATTAATATTTTCAGTAATCTGCGCTACAGTAGCTCTTCTATTGGATCAGAGTACATAGGCCAGCCCTTGCTAGCCAGGTGCATCAGTTAGCCTTAGCCGTCCATGACCCTGTCACCGCCTATTTAATTTGACCCCTGTCAAAGTTGCTAAAATCTTTGCCCATTTTTTTTTTCTTCTTTAAACAAATTAACTTCAGGAACACATGTTCACTTGCTGCCCAATATATCCCAACCACTTTCGGATGCTATTGTAATAAAATAATTAATGTTATCCACTCTGTCAGTGATCATAGTGTTATAGCTGATCAGTGTATAGGACCTATGGTCTTGGCAACTCATTAAAAGGCCAAGGAAGGCAGTGGTGCCAGCAACAAATAGGTTGCTTTGCAAATTTGCATTTATTTTTTCGCATAGGGCCAAGCAGGTTTGGACAGCTTTTTGTCCTTAGAAAATGCAGTTTTTAACCGATGATTTAATTTATTATTTAGTCGGGCTATCTTTGTGTAATTTTTAAATTTGTTTGACCTGAGTCATTTAAGTGCGACAAATATGCAAAATAATTAAACTATCAATCGGGGGACACACACACACACTCACACACACACTCAAAATTGTGGAAACGCCAGGTGAAGGTGAGTGGGATATATTGGGCAGCAAGTGAACATGTTCTTCTGAAGTTGCTGTGTTGAAATTAAACTGCAGCTCTTAGGGAATGTTCCCAGACTGCAGTAGTAAGGACTTGCCAAAAGTGGTCCAAGGAAGGAAAACTGACTACAGGGTCATGGGGGTGTCAGAACACATTGCATCACGATTTGTTGCATATGCGGCTACATAGCTACATACCAGTAAGCGTGCCCACATGCTGGGCCCGTATCAACATCGAAAAGAGCCTAAAATGGGGGCATGAACATCACAACTGGACCATGGCACAATGGAAGAAGGTGGCCTGGTCTAATGAATTTAAGAGTTGTTTGAGGAACCCAACAAGTTTGAGGTGTTGATTTAGCTTCCAAATTCTCCATATCCAAATCCAATTAAAGAGCTGTGGAATGTACTGGAAAAGCAAGTCTGATCCATGGAGGCCCCATATTTTAACTTGCAGGACTTAAGTGTTACTAAACCCACAACAGTAAAATCAGTCTGTATATGCAGTAAAGCATGCTTGTTATACTCCATGTGGAACCTAACGGGTTTATTCTCTGCATTGTGTAAAAGATGTTTGTCCTGTCTTCTTTGATCCTCCCCTTATTCTAATGTCACCAATCCATCTACTGATAGAACAGAGCCTTGAGGGCAAACTGCACATGGTCTGTTTGTTGTATTGCTAGAGAGGTGTTTTTTTTTTCCTTGTGAGAGTGCATGTGATCAGCACAAGGCCAACCAGCATTGTCCAGAGGGTCAGGGGTCCTGCAGTCTCATAGGACAATCGGGAGAATAAAAACTCCTCCTCCAAGCTTTAACTAGTGCTCTGCTCGACACTGATAGAAGTCACAAGACTGCTATATGCTGCTGATGAGAAAAGGTATTTAGCAGTTTATCTCTAAGAGCTTACAATCTAGCGAGCAGGGTCCTCTGAATCCTCCTGTATTAAATTGTATTGTAATTGTACTGTCTGCCCTTATGTTGTAAAGTGCTGTGTAAACTGTTGGTGCTATATAAAGCCTGTATAATAATAATAATTACTAAAATAATTGCATTTCCATGTTCTATGTACTGTGAGAGACCAGATATAGTGAATGCAGGGTCATGGGTTAGCGACACTTAAAAGCAGGGGTCTCCAAACTATGGCCTTCCAGCTGTTGAAGTACTACAAGTCCTATCATGCCTCTGCCTCTGGGAGTCTTGCCTGTGACTGTCAGTCTTGCAGGGCCTCATGGGACTTGCAGTTCCTCAACACCTGGAGGGCTATTGTTTGGAGACTCCTCGTTGGTATGGCCTGGTGCCAGATACCGCTGCATACCTTCAGAGGTCTGGTGGAGTCTATGCCATTCTTTGCAATGCTCTCCTTCTGTGGGAATATTATAGAACATAACAAATATTCCTTACAGTATTACTGGGGCTGTAATGTCTGCAGTTTCTGATCATGTTTTTTAGTATGTCCATGGCCTTTAGCAGTCATTTGTAGCAATACTTATTCTGAATATTATGTGGGCAGTCCTTTGGTAATATCAAGGGCCACACTTGAGGCCCCTTATATCTGATAATTTGACCTTTGTCAATCCTACGATTGCCTTTTGATCCATAGATTGCATTAGGAACCATATTGAAAAATATATAGAACTTTTCAGAACTTTAACATTAACGTAACATGCTTGCAATGTAAAAGTATACAGTTGGTAACATTTTGAAACCTTTTTCCACAGGCCGCATACGTTGAACAGCACTAGCATGTCCAAAGCCTATCAGAGCACCTTCACAGGGGAGACGAATACACCTTACAGCAAGCAGTTTGTGCACTCAAAGTCATCCCAGTACCGCAGGCTGAAGACTGAATGGAAAAACAATGTATATTTGGCCCGATCTAGAATTCAGGGATTAGGGCTTTATGCTGCCAAAGATCTGGAAAAGCACACTATGGTGATAGAATACATTGGCACTATCATAAGAAATGAAGTAGCAAACCGTCGTGAGAAGATCTATGAAGAACAGGTGAGGTGGATAAAAACTTATCTTTAGTAATAGGCAAGCTGGTCTTATTAACCTGATATAGCAAAAAGTGCTGGATCTGGAACACCTGAGCATTATGTACAGTAGCTCAAAGCTCCAGAACACTCAACAAACAAAAAATCACACATTGATGTTCAGGCGCCTGGAGCTTAAAAAGGTACATCAGCTATTTTTAAGAGTGTCCCTAGAGCCTGGACATATAGGAAATATCACTAACTATATGTTTTTTTTTTCCCAATATGCATTTTGCCTATGTGTCCAGACTTTAGGGACACCCTGTAGAATGAGGTGTTTTTGACCGCATAGACATCAATAGGAGCACCTAAACAACCATTTCCTCCAAGTAACTAGCTTTCCATTGTCTAAAGTAAAAATGCTCAAGCCTGAATACACCTAAATACAAAAATGAACGAAGAAAAAATACCAGTTGTTTTTGATATGTGGGCCTTACAACTTGGAGGAAGAGTTGTTTTGACACTTTATCTAGCTGAAGTGTTTGTAGACATGAAATGAATTGTCAGGATAATTTTGTTAATTTTTAGTTTCTAAATAACAATGTCTGTTTTCTTGTCCTAGAACCGAGGAAATATACATGTTTCGCATTAATAATGAACATGTAATTGATGCTACTTTGACTGGTGGGCCTGCCAGGTAACTTAACTTAATTCTCATTTGCAAATAGTATATATGAAAATTGAGCAGAATCCTAATCCCTGTTCCACGTCACACAGCATCCAATGTAGGCCTCACCATCCCCTTGTATTGCATTACAAATGTGGGAATGCTGATGTGATGAAATACATTTTTCTACAGCTGCATGAGTGAGCTCTGTGTGCCCGTGAATGCTCTGCTGTCTTGTATCTGTGTCAGATCTAGTTACTGTGTAACTTTGATATGCATGAGCACTAGACCGACAGATCCAGGGATTGTGGGACAGGTAGTTTCTTCATAGGAAGTTTCTGGTCTCATGTTGCATACAGAAATTATGTACTACCCTTTGCTGAGCCATGCAAAAGGTCTCAAGTTGTAACACAAACTAAAGAGACAGGAATGTAAAGATATACTCTATTATAGTCTGTGTGTACAGGCTAACAAATTACATCAAACTACATGATTAATGCACCTTGTGCAGGAAAGAATGTTTACCACGCCTTTAACCACTCAACTGATAACCTTTCCTTATCAATGCTGTTTTGTTCAGTAACGTAGCCTTTTTATGCTTACGCTGAAATGTGAAAAATTGATGGGAACACTACTATACCATGATCAAACGGGTGTGGAAATTTTTTAAAAAACTACTTGACCAGGGACTAAATCGGTGTCCTAGTCTACTTCTTCATTACAATCTACTTGTCCTGATAAAAAAAATAAAATTTAACCAAAACCGTATTTAAATTTGCTTTAAGTAATGTCTGGGGCTTTTAAAAACAAAAGGGGCTTTATGGCGACTTGAACGTTTACTGTTTTTAACATTCCGCTGTATATCTCCTCCCCTCCCTGCCTATCCCCAGCACCGCACCCGGGGACTAGCAGGGAGGGAGAGACCTTGCAGTGTAATGAGCACCAATTGGGTGCTAGTCAGGAAAGGGGAGTGTCGGGCTTATCGTTTATCCCTTTCACTGCCAGAGCTATTTTTGTGTTATTTGCACGCATTTAAAAAATCATTTAAGGCTTGAAGATTACACAAAACACTCAAACATATATTTTCTGAAAGCAGAGACCCTAGAGAATAAAATAGTGGTAGTTCCTATTTTTTTATGTCACACAATATCACAAAGGTCTAGGAAACGCAAAATTTCAGTACAAAATACACTTGTTAATATTAGGGCACAAAAAGAAATACATTATCCAATTGTTTTGTAAAATATAAAAGATGAGGTTGCATCGAGTAAATAGATATCCAACATGTCAAACCTTAAATTTGTGTGCACTTGTGAAATGGCAACAAACTTTATTACCCTATATTTTCTATAGGTGGCGCTTCTAAAGCCCCTTATAGGTCATCAGAATAGTGTTACGGAGGTGGGCTGGTGGTAGAATTGTTGCTCTCATTCTGGCGTGCGCAGTGATATGTAACGTGTATCGCAATTGACGTTCGCACGTGTAGGGCGCCTGAGCATGTGCTTTTACGTTTGTATGTGCATATATGTGGGGGTGGGGGGCCTTAAAAAAAAATTTTTTTTGGGGGGGGGGGGGGTTATATGCTTGGGTGTAACTTCCATTTAATTAAAAAGAAAAATTTTTTTTTTTACTTAGCTTTTTAATCACATAGAGGACAAAGTCCATCTATGTGATGATCTTTTGGTGACAGGTTCTCTTTTTGAGATGTTTCCCCTGTGTTCCACTGAATGTAATGCAGTGCACATCGTACCGCATTACATTCTCTCCTGGCCTCAATGACTGGGAATGTGTCAAATGGGGACCCGGAAATGACATATCATTTCCGGGTCAGGAGATGGAGGGGAGTGGATGTGTCTGCTGTCCTCCCCTCCCCTATACCTCATCCCACCAGTGCACAGCGAAGCCTGGGACATATATCAGGCAGGGGGAGAGGCTGACACTGGGCTGTGTGGAAGCAATCGGGTGGCAGCGTTGCCGCCTGAATGCTTCCATCTGGCAGGTGAGCCCTGCTGCTTGCCCGCAGCAGGGTTAAAGGCAAAAACGAAAAAAAAAAACTATCTGCCCGGAACTACATATCCGGGGCGTCGAGTGATAGGAATTGCACATCCCTCAAGGTAGCTGTTAAATATGACTGTATATGCCATAATTTTGGTTTGGTTATGTCTAGCGAGACGTTTGTAGGTTAAGTTAATTACTGCTTTTTTTCATTGAGCAGTAATTAATTTGCCTATGTATATTAACATGCTGTTTAAATTAACCGTGCCACCTTGAAATGTTCTACACCAGTACCCAAAAGGAGTATCAATATTTTATCTCATTTTAAAAGAGGCAATAAACAAAATGGTTAATGATTCAATTTCATACCAATTTTGCAGGTACATCAACCATTCATGTGCTCCAAATTGTGTTGCTGAAGTGGTCACATTTGACAAAGAAGACAAAATTATCATCATCTCTAGTCGAAGGATACCAAAAGGAGAAGAGGTGACTTTTCTGTAACGGTTTTATCCTAGATGGAGACTATATTCTCCAGTGAATCTGACATTTACATGTCCCTCTTCTCTTTTTTTTTTTTTTTTTCCCCCTCCTTATCAGCTTACATATGATTACCAATTTGACTTTGAAGATGATCAGCACAAGATCCCATGTCACTGTGGAGCATGGAACTGTAGGAAATGGATGAATTGAAAACGGTGAACTTAAGCTGCCTCCGGTAATTGTGAATATGTGCCCTTCAATTTAAAGCCTTTGAGAGAGTACTAAAACACCAACTTGTGTGTCTACGATTGCTTCGTTACACTAGCTTTTGAAGCCTCCCTCAAGATCTGAAAACAGTTCCCAAGCCTTCTTCATCTTTCTGATGTAAGGAATGTGAAGCAGTGATGAAATTGTGAATACTTTCTGAAGGCCTTTACCCCGGTGGATGGAAAAACTATAAAAGAAAGCTATTGTGCAGAGAACATTCCCTAAGCACCAAATAGCTGGGCATATGTTTGTGTAGCACCCCTTTTTTCCTTCACATAAAATTGTTCTTGAGAGGAAGGATTTTTTTTTTTCAGTTTTTTATCTGAATTTAAAATATTGCTCTAACTCTCAAATACATGAGAATGAAAATAAAAAAAAGAATAAAAAAAAAAAATAAAAAAAAGTCATTAGTTAACAAAGCAGTTTGACAATCCTAAATCTACAGGACCCTCAGAGCGCGAAAGAGAGCACATAAGACTGCAGAAAAAGAGCACAGGAGTTGCTTTCATTGAGCGCAAGAGACAGTCCATTGACTGTTACCTGTCACAGCTACCCAATCCCAGAGGCACCTGGCCAGCACCTACCTCATCTGCCTGTTGGATACTGATGTGTATATGTGACACTCCCACGGCAATCTAAAATAGATAGCACCTCATAAACATGGACACAGCGCATATGATGGGACTTGTGTAATAATAAAAATACATTCTACCCATCCCAGAGGATCTGGATAATAATATCATTTGACCCTCTCTGAAGCTTTGTAACCTGCCTCTTGGCCTATGTATTTGGCTGTGAGCAGGTCAGAGTGCACTAATCATGTTTTCTGCTAACTGCCCGCTTGTGGTCTGTCCTTGGCAACCCATTCTCTCCCTTTTTCTGTGCCTGAAACCTCACCCTTCTCTATACCTGGAACATGAAGTGTAATAAGACTTGCTTTGTAAGGGGGTAGAGTTTTTTTTTTTTTTTTTTGTTTTTTTTTAACAGCAGGTGGTGTATGTATGTGTGTGACTGTAGATATCCCTTGGTTTAGTTTATTTTATGATCTGTGCTATTAATCATTCTCCCTGTTACAGTATTTCTGTAAAGGCTCTCCAAGAAATCTAAGCCCTTTATTTAGCCAATATCTCAATGAAATGGACTTTCTTTTAAACCCAATTTTAGAGATGTACTCATTTTATCCCAAAACATACTTTATACATACATCTTCACTTGCAATACTCTAAAGCTGCTGTTCTGCTCTTATCATGTGATTCTAAGTCCCAATTATTTTCTAGCACAGTGCTTGGGTTGGGAATAGGTGAAGGGAGTTATTTATTTGTACTTGTAATTATATTTATGTATTACCGCCTTGTGTGAGGGAAGTACAGGGTGTCTTAGATCTTGGCAAATACTACATGCTTTTTTATCATTTCATAATCCTAGAGAGTACAGATTGAGCACTAGTAAGCTATATCCCTGATCTTTTGGCTTCCATTTTTCTAAATGTACATTGTTTTGAAATGCAGAACTATGTTTATGTATCAGAACAGAGAATATTTCTTTTACCCATTTTACAAGTTACTGTGGCTGTACCTTCCCCCAAAACAGACATAGTGATTATGTTTAAAGAGTGCACGGATAAAAATAAATCAGTGGCGTTGAGCAGCCAAGGGCATTTGAAATCAAAGCTAGTGTGAATATATGAGATTAAGTGCTGTTGCTTTTTAACACAAGCTGCTTCCACAACTGTTTTAAAAGCTGCAAACATGTACAAAATAAAAATAAAGGTAAGTTGTAAATAAACAATAGAAAAGAAAAAGTCTAAAAAAAAAAAAAAATACTGTTGTGCATAGTCTGGCACCATATTATTGAAAAACCACTGGACACTATGAAAGCCTGAAAATTTGAAATGTAATGTTCCCTTTCCTTTATTTCCTGCTTTTTAATGAATTATTTTGAGTTTTAAGCTCTACGGTGGGAGCTTTTACAGTACATCCCTGTCACACTTGTGATATTAGAATATTATAGATATGACATACAGTAATGTAGATTTTAGGTAAACCTATACAGTTTTTTTTTGTTTTTTTATACAAAATATAATCCAGACCCAAGCTTGAAATACTTGATTTTTTTTTTTTTCTGCTTGTATAAACACTCTAATTTGCTGTGTTTTGAATTTAATTTGGTCTCTGCTTGCAAATATTTGTCTTTTCTTTTCCCATAATATTCTTTCTGTTTCGCCATTTTCCACTTTTTTTTTTTTTTTTAATTTGTATTGACGAGATTCCATAGGGAGCTGTAATTTGTGCGGTGAGGATTCTGTACAGAAGATTTGTCCTTCGTAGAAAACATAAAATTATTCCTTTTTTAAAAAAATGAAAATAAAAACTTGTACGTGGCATGTTTTGTATTGAATATAATTTTGAAATGTATATAATTTATGTGAAAGAGGCAAGTAAGAAGAGCTTAATTGCTTCTTTTGGTTTGTTTTTAAAGGACAAATAAAATGCATTTTAAATACTTTGAGCTGTTTTTAACTGCCTTTTTTTATGATAGAAGTGGAATATACTGAACATTTTACTTTTTTTTTTTTAAATTTTTTTCTAGTTTTTTGGAAAATTTGGTGTTGCCCAAAGATCAGATGACTTGTTCATGTGACATGATCTAATTGAGCTAATCTTGAGAAACTTGATGCTAAGATTTATTGTCATTGCAAATAAAAATCCACAATGAAATTTCAGAACAAAATTTCAAACAACGATGGCTCACCAAACATATTTTTCTATCTTCCTGGTGCCGCACCTGAAATCAAAGCAAGCATTCTGCACATGGCCAGAGAATAGAATACTAATCAGACAAGGAGTTACTGATGGAAAGTCCAGCCAGTCTTGTGCTTTATATTCAAGCCCAGTTTAACTTTCTTAACCACTTGCCCTCGAAAGGATTTACCCCTCTTCCTGACCTGGGCATTTTTTGCGATACAGCGCTGCGTTATTTTAACTGACAATTGTGCGATCATGCAATGCTGCACCCAAATTCAATTTCTGTCCTTTCTTTTCCCACAAATAGAGCTTTCTTTTCGGTGGTATTTGATTGACTGTGCAGTTTTTATTTTTTTAGCTATAAAAAAAAAAATTTGGAGGGGAAAAAAAAACAATATTTTTTACCTTTTGCTGTTAACCTTTACTTACCGGGGCACTTATACCCCCTTCCTGCCCAGGCCAATTTTCAGCTTTCAGCGCTGTAGCATATTGAATGACAATTGCGCGGTCATGCAACATTGTACCTATATCAAATTTTTATCATTTTTTTACACCACTGGGTGTTTTATTTTTTTGCTCTGTAAACAAAAAAAAAAGAGCAAAAAAATTTTTTTTAAAAGTTTTTTTCTTTGTTTCGATTATAAAATTTTGCAAACAGGTAATTTTTCTTCTTCACTGATGTGCATTGATGAGGCTGCACTGATAGGCAACACTGACGGGTGGTGCTGACTTAAGGCACTGAGGGGTGGCACTGACTGGCACTGATAGGCGGAACTGGTGGGTGGCACACTGGTGGGTGGCACTGCAGTGCACTGATCATCATCAGTGCCAATCTCCTCTGACAGCTGCCAGTTATCGGCAGTACTTTCCTTACACTGTGACAGCGTGAGGAAAGTGCTGACGATAACTGGCAACTGTATTTTCTCTGTGATCTGCTATGTCATTGGACACAGCTGCTCATGTGGTGAAAGGCCGCTGTGATTGGCCTTTTACTTCATCACGTGATCAGCTGTGTCCGTAGAACACAGAGATCGCCGGGTGCATGAGCCTGGTCGCACGCGGGAGGGCGCATTCTGGGAGGACGTCATACGACACCCTCCCAGAATTGGGTAACTTCGCTGTAGCCATGATTCGGCTGTAGCTCGGTTACCAAGTGGTTAACATGTCCAGTACAAAAAAAAAAAAAATTAAATTTCGTCATAAATTTAGGCCAAAATGTATTCTGCTACATGTCTTTGCTAAAAAAAAACCCCAATACGTGTAAATTGATTGGTTTATATTATAGCATCTACAAATGGCGGTATAGATGCTGTATTTTTTTTTTTTTTTAAACTAGTAATGGCAGCGATCAGCAACTTATAGCGGGACTGCAGCGGGCATTCTGACACTGGGGGGAACTGACTTGGTGTCACTGACATCCCCAGTAACACCAATACAGTGATCAGTGCTAATAAAAAGCACTGACACTGTACTAATGACACTGGGCTGGAAGGGGTTGACATCTGGGGCAATCAAAGGGTTAACTGTGCTTTACTGTGTAAGCAAATTGCTTTGTATTGCTCTGTGTAGCAGAACAGTACAAAGCAATGTGCAGAAGCTGACAGGGGAGAGATCTGTATTTACATACAGGTCTCTCCCCCATTGGTAATGCACGGCAATCACCGGCCATGACCCAGTGATCAACAGGCGAGGCTGCCAATGGGGACGTGGGTAGGAAATGCAAAATCAGCGGTTAAGCAGGCCATAGATTATTATTATACATGATTTATATAGCGCCAACAGTTTGCTCAGCGCTTTACAATATAACGGGAGACAATACAGCAACAATACAGTTCAATACAAGAGGGATAGGAGGGCCCTGCTCCTTGGAGCTTACAATCTAGGATTCTGTGTTAAGACATTTTTGGGTAAGGATGTGATTGACATGACATGTCATTTACTTTACTAAAGTAGAGGATGTTTATTTGCAAGTGAATGTTTTCTAAGCTTATTAAACATGGCAACACTACGTTCACTTTATTCAGCTAATCAATAAAAATATTTTTTTCCCTCCATCTAACTTACATACGATTGGGTATTCTAAAACTGGCAATAGACAGATTGTTTCCTGCTGCACCGGCCGAATTTTGACATATCTATGGCAAGCCTGGTTGTACTGCAGTCGATACATCGTCAAGGTCAGGTTTTTCTTTCACCCGA